AACACTTAAATAATCTTCCCTTAATTTTTTTTCCATGGCTGGAGAAATAGTAAGGGCATCTGCCTTGTGCACAGCCAGACCAAGTTTGAAACCTGAGTAACCCCTGAGCATTGCCACGGCCTAGCCTAAAAATCAAAACAAAAAAATAGAGGATTGATTCCACTTTCTAGTCTCGTTTTTGAACCTCTCAGGTTTGTTCTGTGAATCTCCTCTAAAACTCAGAGGCACCAACGATGGTGCCTTTTTCTCTACCGGAATTCTCTGTCGCGTGTAGTTCTATTAGGAAGCAGCATCTCCAGGGGGAACGACAGTGGGCACATCTGCTGCTTCGCACTGAAGTCAGTGGCCGCCTCAGCCCTGTGGCACTTGCGACGGCTTCTTCCTAGCTCAGGTGCAGATATGAATGGCCTATCAGGGGAGCACTTCAGCCACTTGACAGTCAGCTCCTATTTATAAACATCAGCCTCTTACAGTTTCGTTTTTGTTCAGGGGCCACACCTGCTGGCACTCAGGGGCTGTTCTGGTGCCAGGGTGGGGACCATGTTACCGGTCCCAGACCTGCTTTCCTGCAGTCAGCCCTTTGAGCCTCTCTTTGTCCCTGAACCTTTTTGTTTGTTTGAATTTTTTTTTTCTTTTAGCACCTAGCTATATTTGGGGGCTACTCCCTGCCCAGTGCTCAGGGGACCATTGGTTGCCAGGTATTAAACCTGATCCTCTCACATGCAAACCATGATCTGCATAGATGCTCAGCCCATTGAACCATCTTTCCAGCCTGCCCTGAACTTTTTTTGGGCATAAAAATAAGTCAGGCGGAGCTGGAGAGATAGTACAGTGGTAGAGCTCTTGGTCTTGAAGGTAGCTGACCTGGGTTTGATCCCCAGCACCCATAGTGGCTCCTTGAGCACTGCCAGGTGTGGCCCTCAAGCCAAAGTGTGTGTGTGAGTGTGTGTGTGTGTGTGTGTGTGTGTGTGTGTGTGTGTGTGTGTAAGACAGAGAGAGAAACAGGCAATGGCTAAAAACAAGCTCACTCTCTCTTGCTCTCTGTATATGTATACATATATGTAATAAGAGAAGGGGAGATGGCTAAAGCGAAAAAATTAATAAAACTAATAATAGGGGGCTGGAGAGATAGTACAGCGGGTAGAGCACTTGCCTTGCACACAGCGACATGGGTTTGATCCCTAGCATCCTATATGGTCCCCCAAGCAGCGCCAGGAGTAATTCCTGAGTGCAGAGCCAGGAGTAAGCCCTGAGTAACACTGGGTGTGTCCCAAAAACAAAAAATAATAATATCATGATTGGTGAATTGGGTAAAAAGTCCTGATGACTCTAGTTCAGACCTCAGAAAACCAGAGCTGTGGCCGAGATTACAGCTCAGTGGTCGCCCACTTGCCTCGTTTGGGTGGGGCCCGGGGTTCCATCCCTGGCACCACATGGAGGAAAGGAAAGCAAGCCTAAGTATGGTCTTGGTGGACGTGGGCAAGGTTGTTTGTCCAGGCCTGCCCGAGGGCGGTTCAGGGCAGTTCCCTTTTCTGAGCATTTTCATGCAGGGCCTTCTCCTCCTCCAGGAGAGGAGGGGAAGCCCCCCAGGTAGCCTCCTTCCTTCCAGGCCCCCATAGCAGAAGTCAAGTGGGTTCAAAAGTAGCTCCCCCAAGCAGAATATTCCAGATGGGGGGGTGTTCAGGATGTGGAGTTGGCCTGGCCCAAGGCGTGTCCCAAGACCCCATTTTCCAGCACGCCTCTTTCACACAGACTGAAATGCCTTCTAAGTTATTTAAGATCCGTTTCATAAGCTTTTGCGTAAGCATCCACATCGTTCGTTTGGAATTCATTTTTAGCATTCTTCCACGAAAGCTGGTGGGTGAGTGACGATTTGTGGGTCCCAGGAAGATCAGTGTCGTGCTTGCCCCTCCTGGCGCTGAGGCGCATCTATATTAGGAAGCAGCACGCTGAGAGGGAGCGGAGTGAAACGGACTCCTTGATCGCTTGGTAACGTGGCTGCTTCCTCCGCAGCAGTGCTCCACGGGGGGGGGGTGGGGGGGGGTGGGGTGGGACACGACACTGCACTGACTTGCAGAGGCCCCCTCTTAGATCCTGGGGAAAGCCGCCCACCCAGGGCCGAGGCACATGTGAGACCCCTGGGCTCTTGCCCCAGCCCTGCGGGAAATGCAGGAAAAGGAAGAAGATGGCTTTGGAGACGGACTTCCCAGGACGGGAGGTTTGCCCCCTCCCACCTGGAAGGGGTGGTCAGCCGCAGAGTCGCCACCCGTGAAGCTAGGACTCCTCTGGGACGCAACCCTGTGAACACGTGACTGACCTGCTGCGTTGTTTCCATCTAAGCTGACTTGAGCTTGGGGTTCTTTTTGTTATGTCTTTGCAGCCACACCGCGGGGCTCGGGGTTTACTCCCAGCTCAGCGTTCAGGGGTCGCTCCTGGCGGGGATCAGACCCAGGTCAGCCGCATGCAGTGTGGGCCTGTGTTTGAGGGTTTTAGTTATTGCCAGAGCTGGAGCTCCTGCAGGGCAAGCACTCCCACGAGCCAGGTCCCTGGGGCCTCATGCACTAATTTTTGTGTAGTTTGCTTTGATGTTGGTTAGGGGGCCTGCCTGGCAGTGTGGGCACCCCGCCAGCACTACACCCGGCGGTGCTGGTGCCGAGGCCAAACCTGGCCCGGCCCTCCTCCCCGGGGCCGGTTCACAGGTCAGGGCTTCTGCAATGAACCGCGCAGCTGGGGGCGGGAGGCTGTGCAGACCTTCCTGGGAGCCGGTCCCCGGGCACCCTGGATTGATACTCCGGGAAGACCCAGAGCCAAGGGGGTCCCTGTCCATCTTTCCGCGTTGATCGGACGCCACGTGGATCTGTGTCCCTGGTGGGACCGATTCCTGCCGCGAGCCATCACGGACGCGGAGTGTCGCATCTGCGGACCGGGGCCAAGGTTGGTCTGGGCGGGAGAGCGGAGCGGGGTGGAGCCTCCCGGCCCCCAAGAGTTAACCGGGAGTGGGTGACGTCAGCCCCGGTCTTCCCGGCGCCCATTGGCTGGCGGCGGGGCGGGGGCGGGGCTCCGTGGGGTAAAAGGAAGGGGCGCCCGGCAGGTGCCCAGCGCGTCCCGCGAGCCCCGCTGCCGGCATGCTTTGCCTGTGCCTGTACGTGCTGCTGCCGGGGGAGGCGCAGACCGAGTTCCAGTGCTTCGAGTCCCGGGGTCTCCCGGCAGAGCTGAAGTCCATCTTCAAGCTCAGCGTGCTGGTCCCCTCGCAGGAGGTCTCCACCTACCGCCAGTGGAAGCAGGTCCGTGCGGCGGGGTGCCAGGGCGGGAAGGAGTGTCGGAAATGTGGGAGCCGTCCCCCCCAAATACACTCACCCGTGTCGTCTTGCGGCACGAGGGCTGTGGCTGTGTGCCAGGATGACCAGAGCTCGGGAAACTTCTCTGTAGGCTGTATCATTTGGGAAGGCACTGGGGGGCCAAGGGGTGAAATAGGAGAAGCACAGATTTAAGAAGGTGGGGAGCCGTCCAGCTGCGCTGGGCTGTTCTCAGAGCCAGGGGTGCATACAGGGTGGCCCCAGGGGGCTCCTGGCTGGAGCGGGGCTGCCAGTAGGACTTGGGGCTGGGTAGGACTTGGGGCTGGGGAACGCCTCTGCGTGTGGAATGAGGGGGGTGTGGGGTGACAACAGAAACCTTACCCTTTGAAAATGGGGGGACCCCCTGCGGTGTCAGGGCTCTCCCCTAAGGAGGTGCCTGGACTTTGCTTGACAACCGTTTCATCTCCCCAGAGTGAGGTGGGGGCCACTGGGGTGGGTGGGGAGGGGGCGACTGCTCACCCTCTGAAGGTGGTAGGCAGTGGACCCTGCAGTTGAGAGGCAGGAACCTGCGCTCTGAGAACCTGGAGCATGCAATGAGCTCCTCCTTGCCAGCGTCTTGGGGCACCCGCCCCGGAAGGCACGTGGGTGGGGGCGCCCCCTTCCCCACCTCCCCCTGTGGCGGGGCGCTCCCACTTCCGCTCATGCCCCAAGTTTCAGGGTGGCAGCCTGGCCCACTCAGCCGGAGTACGGCGTGGCCTCAGCCTCACAGTCCCACCATGCTTTGTTCTTGGGATCCTGACAAGTGACGGGACGCCTGTCCAAGTCTCAGAGAGAGGCAGGCGGCCGTAGAACCATGGAGATCAGACCTGTTGGGGTGCCAGCAATCTCACAAATTCCAAACGGGCTTGTCAGTAGAACGTCACCTGGTCTTGGCCGGAGAACGGTGCTGGCAGGGCTCTCCGAGAGCACTGGGATGGCGCAGCGTCTCCCTGAGCCTCTCAGCCCAGTTTTGGGGTGTGCCCCAGGCAGTCGTGACTCAGGGGTGCTCCCCACCTGGGGATTCCCCACAACTGTGGTAGCAGGATTCATGACCTTGGGTGAGCCGGATCACCTCTCTGAGCACTGGGGAGGACTCAGTGGCCACAGGGGTGCTCTGTGGAGGAGACAGGCTGCAGGGGCAGGGCTCTGCGGGGCCTCTGCGGCCTGCCTGAGAGCTGAGGTGCTCAGCCCTTAAGCACGTGTCCCCCTTGGCTCTACCCCCGTCTCCCGTCTGCCGATCTCCCCTGGTAGCGTTTCTGCCAAGCAGGCGTTGGCAGGGCCGCCCGTGCCACGCAGAGACACAGTCGCCAGCCTCAGGGCTTTGGGTGGGACCTGGAACTCCAGGGCTTGGCACCGGACAGTGCTGCAGGGGGCCAGGCAGCTGACCTGGCAGGCGGTGTCAGTCTCAGGAAAACCTGGAACGTGGAGGCGCCTGGCCTCCACCGCTGGCCGCAGTGTATGGGGCCTCCTGCAGCCGCCTTGGGCTCCAGCCTACACTTGCGAGCCCTGGGGAGGCTCTGGTGGGCAGTTTGGGTCGGGTCAGGAGCAGCGTCCTGGGCCCCTGGGGCCACTTTTGGTCCTAGATCCGCACAGGTGTGTCATGAAATTTGTCAAGAAAAGGTCGCCTTGCGCCCCGCAGACTGAACCTTGCTCCTGTCTTAACAGAAAATTGTCCAAGCTGGCGACAAAGACCTGGACGGGCAGCTGGACTTTGAGGAGTTTGTCCACTACCTCCAAGACCACGAGAAGAAGCTCCGGCTGGTGTTCAAGAGTTTGGACAAAAAGAACGATGGTGAGTGTCCCCTCTCGGGCCCACGGCTCCCAGGCCTCCCTGGCCTGGCTCCCCGCTCACCCCCCTGTCCCTTCCAGGGCGGATCGACGCACAAGAGATCATGCAGTCCCTGCGTGACCTGGGAGTCAAGATTTCCGAGCAGCAGGCAGAGAAAATACTCAGGAGGTGAGTGTCCAAGCCGGCCCCGAGTCCAGTCCAAGCCAGGTAGCAACAGGCCAGCTTTGGACTGCCTATGATCTCGCCTACAAACCTGACTTCTCTGGACTTAAGCTTTGGGCAGGGTGAAGGGGCGCGTGAACCGCCCTCCCCAGCGACCAGTGCCCTCTGCTTCCAGGTTGATGCCCAGGGAGGGGTTCCAAAGGGTAGCACCCCATGGGTGGGCTTCCTCCCTCAGGCAGGCAGCTGGACTTGGCACATCCTTTGTCCTGCGGCCCAGCAGCAGGGCACTCCCTGCAGGGCAGCTGGGGTCCGAAGGCTGACGGCCTTGACACATTCCAGACTCAGGAGTGAGCGTGGCGGACCTGAGTCCTTCCCTGGCACCCCCACCCAAAAATAAACTGGACCCAAAGCCACTGGCGGTGGGGCCCATGACTGATGTGCTGGCCCCTGGTGGCTGGGAGTCGGGGGCACCCGCCACTACCTACCTCTGTGTCTGTGCTGTGTGCTCCCTGACTGCGGGGGTGGGGCACCGTGTATCTGAGCTCTGTGCTTCTCCGGCCACTGAGGGGTGCCATGCTTATGCTGTGCATTCCTGGGCCACTTGCCGGACACTACACATCCGCGCTGCGTTCCCCTGCCTCAGAAGCTCTGTGTAGCTATGTTGTGCGCTCCCCGGCCACTCGGAGGCGCTGTGTATCTCTGCTATGTGCTCCCCGGCCACTGGGGGCGCTGTGCATCTATGCTGTGTGCTCCCCAGCCACCGGGGGGCGCTCTGCCTCGTGCTGTGTGTTTGCCTCTCTTAACTGCTGCTCAAGCACTTACTCGTGTTGTTTCTCCTCTCTCCTCTGCATCCTCCTTTGTCTGTCTGTCAGAATACGGACGGGCCATTTCTGGGGCCCTGTCACCTAGTAAGTATCCGCGGCCACCTCTTGGTCTGTACCTGATTGGCATGGGGTTCCGGGGGGCGCCAGCATTCTGTTCCTGTGCACCGTGGAGGGTGGCCGCTTGGCCTTCCCTCCTGGGGGGGGCAGAGGTGCCCTCTGGACTCTCCAGGAGCAGGGGCAGCGCGCACTGACCGCAGCCCCGTCTGTCCCGCAGCATGGACAAAAACGGCACAATGACCATCGACTGGAATGAGTGGCGTGACTACCACCTCCTGCACCCCGTGGAGAACATCCCCGAGATCATCCTGTACTGGAAGCACTCCACGGTGAGCCGCACAGGCCCCGTGCCCTGCTGGGCCTGCCGCATCCCTTTGTCAGAAGCACGGGACGGGGAGGCGGGGGCAGGGGTGCTGCACTGATAGGGTCAGGCTTGGCATGCTGAGACCCCAGGTTCCGTATATCCAGCCCCCAAAAACAAAATGAAAAATGAGGGACTGGCGATAGGCGGGGCTTGCAGTGATGGCCTTGAGCACTACTGGCCCTGGTTTGGTGTCCAGCACATCTGGTCTCAAGCCCCACCAGGAGTGAATCCTGAGCCAGGGCCCAGAGGACTCCCCAAGCACCCCTGGGTGTGGCCCAACCCCACCCCCAAAATTGGGCTGTTCCTTGAACAGGAAAGAGAAGAGAAATTGCCTCAATAGTTGACGGGCTGGAGTGATAGCACAGCAGTAAGGCATTTGCCTTGCATGCAGCCAGCCTGGCCGACCCAAGTTCGATTCCTTGGCCCCTCTCGGAGAGCCCGGCAAGCTACCAAGAGTATCTCACCCCCACGGCAAAGCCTGGAAAGCTCTCCATGATGTATTCGATATGCCAAACACAGTAACAACAAAGTCTCACAATGGAGATGTTACTGGGTCTGCTCGAGCAAATCAAAGAACAATGGGAGGACAGTGGCAGTGACAGCTAGTTGATACCGCCCGGCCCTCCCCAAGCCCAGTTCATGTTTGCGTGGGTTCCTGCAGAGCTCACTGGGGGTGGCATTGTGGGGCTTTGAGGGTTTTTTTTCTTTTTGAGGTTTGGTGGTGGCGGTGCTTGAGGGCCCAGGCGGTGCCAGGGATTGAACCCTGGGCTCCCCCGTGCAGAGTGCAGGCTCTTGCCCCTGCGTCGTCATGCCAGCCCTCAAGCCCTCAGTTGGCTCCTACCCAGCCTGTCCCTGTAGGACCGGGGCTCAGAGGTGCTCCGCCTCGACCCTTGCAGTGCCCAGTCTCACCCTGTGTGTGTGTTTGGGGCGGGGGGGGGGGGGCGCCTGTGTGGCAAGCTGGCAGGGGTGGGACCTGGAACCCAGCAAGCTGCCTGCCAGCCAGCCAGCGGCCAGGACAGGCCTGACGCAAGCATCGCCCCTTCTCGTGTTTGCTGAGGCCTGACCTTCTGTCCCACCGGTGTGATCCGGTTCCAGACCAGCTCTCGGACCTGTGGCACCTGGCCCTTGGCTTGAAGTGTGGCCCAATACTGCATGCGCACTTCTCGCGGGAGCTCCCAGGTTACGTAACTGCCTCCTCCCAGCTGGACTGTGCTCAGAACCCCCAGCAGGGATCAAAGTCCTTGGTCCGCACCATGGCGGGCCCTGAGGACGGCTCCGGGCCGGCCGCTGCCCCCAGTGCCGGGCGCCTGCCTGGCACCTAGGTCATCTCAGTTGTCTTCCCCCAGATCTTCGATGTGGGCGAGAATCTGACCGTCCCCGATGAGTTCACGGTGGAGGAGAGGCAGACGGGCATGTGGTGGAGACACCTTGTGGCCGGCGGCGGGGCGGGGGCCGTGTCCAGGACCTGCACGGCCCCGCTGGACAGGCTGAAAGTGCTCATGCAGGTACGGTGGCTCCCCCGTGTAGCCCAGTCAGGTCAGCAGGAGACATTAGATCCAGGCCCAGGTGACCTTTAGCTCCAGGCTGATGTCATTGTATCCGGGACACCCACACCGGATCCGTCACAAGGCCACTGTGCCGGCAGGGCAGGCCAGGGCAGGCAGGCGGGGTGGGAAGCTGGTTCCTTCCATGCATCTGCCCGGGCTGGCTGGGCTTTGGGGACACCTGACTGTCCACGCCCCAGCGTCAAGGACAGCTTGTGGTTCCAAGAAAAGGGCTTCAGGCGGGAATGGGGACCTGGGTCCTCTCCACCCCACTGGGTGGCCTTGAACTGTTATTCCACCTCCAGGCTTTTGTTTGGGGCCACACCCTGGTCACATGACCTGGATCCAACAGGACCTCCCACTCGAGCACCCTCAACTCAGCCTCCTGACCCGAGCACCCTTAACTCAGCCCTCCCACCGCACCTGAGCACCCTTGACTCCGCCCTCGCCCTCGGCCCACACAGTGATGTTTCCCCTTAGTCCCCAGGGAAGTGGCAGAGATCGGGTTGGCCTGTGCGGAAGGGCAGACTATCTGTAGGAGACTTCAGACATCCCGGGTGCTGGTAGCAGAGACCCCACCCTGGGCAGTGGGTTCGGGATTCTGGGAGCAGATCAGGCATGCTCCTCATGTGTACTCGAGCATGTGTTTGAAATGCTCCGCGAGAAGAACGCCCTTTATTTTGTGCAGTGTTGGAATTAAGCTCGGGGCCTCATCCACACGAATCACGGGCGTCTCCACTGGCAGTGCGGAGTGCCCGGCCCATCTCAGCAGTGCCCCACAGCCAGCCGCTCCCCACCCACCAGCCACTGGCGTGGTCTGCCGGGGGACCCCCACAGCGACACCTACTGGTGTCAGGCCCCTTGGTGCTGGATTCAAACTCAGCCCTGTGCTTGCAGCCCACAGCCAGCCCCCAGCCCCTCAGCCTTTCTGTTCGGCCCTATGGCCTTTGGGCCAGGCTAGCAGTGTTCGGGGCTCACCGGGGCCCTGGGCACAGGGATCACTCTGGTGGGGCTGGGGATTGAATCCAGGTTGACTGCATTCAAGTCAGGCACATTACCTGCTCTATTAGCTCTTTGTCGGAGAGCCCAGCAAGCTACCGAGAGTATTCGATATGCCAGACACAGTAACAAAGTCCCCAATGGAGACGTTACTGGGCCCGCTCGAGCAAATCGACGATCAACGGGAGGGCCTTTACCTTTAATATATATATATGTTAAAAATTCCATGGGCGAGGGGGCTGGAGCAATAGCACAGCGGGTAGGGTGTTTGCCTTGCACGCGGCTGACCCGGGTACGATTCCCAGCATCCCATATGGTCCCCCGAGCACCACCAGGAGTGCAAAGCCAGGAGTAACCCCTGAGCATCGCCGGGTGTGATCCAAAAAGCAAAAAAAAAAAAAAAAAAAAAAAATTCCATGGGCGAGAAATTTTCTGGCAATACAGAGGGTGCGGCGCCTGCCCTGCATGCAGCCAACTCCAGTCCCAGTGCCCAACACCTGTATGGGCCCGTGAGCACAGAGCCAGGAGTCGCCCCTGAGCACCTCTGGACGTGTCTTCTTCTGCCCCTCCGCCCCATAAAGTGGGTCTTGGCGCGGCTGGCACAGCGCCCTCAGCCCCACAGTGTCTGCGGTCAGCGGGCAGCTGCCGTCTGCAGCCCTGTGTCCTCTGTCCCTCTTGCAGGTCCACGCCTCCCGCAGCAACAACATGTGCATCGTGGGCGGCTTCACGCAGATGGTCCGCGAGGGCGGTGCCAAGTCCCTCTGGCGGGGCAATGGCATCAATGTGCTCAAGATCGCGCCCGAGTCAGCCATCAAGTTCATGGCCTACGAGCAGGTGAGCGCCGCTGCCCCAGGCCCATTGCCAGAGCGTCTCCCCAGCCGGGGGCCCCCCAGTACCCCTGAGCCGTTGCCTGACGTCCATGGTGGGGCCAGGCCTGGTCTTGTTTCCCGGCACCCGGCTGAGGCCAGCTCACAGGCTCTCCGTTTCAGATCAAGCGGCTCGTGGGCAGTGACCAGGAGACCCTGAGGCTCCACGAGCGGCTGGTGGCCGGCTCCTTGGCGGGGGCCATCGCCCAGAGCACCATCTACCCCATGGAGGTGAGGTTCGGGCCCGCGGGCCGGCGGCTAGGGGGAGGGGAGTGGGCATGGGGCCAGGCCTGAGCTCATCCTTGCCGCGCCCCAGGTTCTGAAGACCCGGATGGCCCTGCGGAAGACCGGCCAGTACTCAGGCATGCTGGACTGTGCGAGGAAGATCATGGCCAAGGAGGGGATGACGGCCTTCTACAAGGGCTATGTGCCCAACATGCTGGGCATCATCCCCTACGCTGGCATCGACCTGGCCGTGTACGAGGTGAGTGGGTTGGGGCGGACGCCCCGGGGGCTCCCCTTACCCCCACCCCCATCCTCAGCTGTCGGGGAAGAGGGTCTGCCCCCCACTGAAGTGTGTCCACGGGAGCAGAAACAAAAGCCTAGCTCCAGCTGGCCCCGCCTGGACCGCCCCAGCCCAATGACCGGGTTCCCTTGGGGACGCAGTGCTGGTGGCCGGGACCTCACCTCTGCCCCGCCCCCCAGACGCTCAAGAACGCCTGGCTGCAGCGCTACGCCGTCAACAGCGCCGACCCGGGAGTGTTCGTGCTGCTGGCCTGCGGCACCATGTCCAGCACCTGCGGCCAGCTGGCCAGCTACCCTCTGGCCCTGGTCAGGACCCGGATGCAGGCTCAAGGTAAGGCCCCCCCGCCCCGCCTGGCCCCGCACCCGGCTTGGGGTCCCGGGAGAGGCAGGCAGGGCTCTGACAGGTGCCCGTCTCCGCAGCGTCCATCGAGGGCGCCCCCGAAGTGACCATGAGCAGCCTCTTCAAGCAGATCCTGCGGACCGAGGGGGCCTTTGGCCTGTACCGGGGACTCGCCCCCAACTTCATGAAGGTCATCCCGGCCGTGAGCATCAGCTACGTGGTGTACGAGAACCTGAAGATCACCCTGGGCGTGCAGTCGCGGTGACGCGCCGGCCCCGGAAGTGGAGCATCTCATTCTGTGAATGTGCCAACACTACGCTGCCGTGCAACCGGGAGGACGCGGGCCCGGCCCTCTGCCTGCGCCCTCGCCGCTCCCCTCCTGGCCGCTTGTGCCCCACCCCCATCCCAAGGCTGTCCGGGGAAAGGGGGCCGCCTGACTTCCATGCTCCCCCTCATCTGAGCTTGGCAGCAGGTGGAGACCTAGGGGTGGCGGGGGGCCCGGCTGCCCGGAAGGCAGGGTGCCGGGACCTCACATGGGCCTGTCCCAGCGCAGAACCGGCCTGACCCAGCTCAGGCAGGGAGGCCGGGGGACAGCGGACAGGGCATGCGGCCCCGTGCCTGGGTTCCTGGCAAGAGAAGGGGGCGAGGGGCCTTAATTCCATGGTGCCAGGAAGAGTTTCATTCTGCAAGTCTGGCCGCCAAGCGTGTGGGCTCCGCGCTGCGGTGGGGGGGCAGCAGGCGGCCGCGGCCACCCAGGGGCCCAGCCCACTGGCCCACCCGGCCCAGGGCCGCCTCACATTCCACCACGCAGCCGACCTCTGCTTGGAGCCTATTTATTTCATATTTATTTGAACAGAGTTACGTCCTAACTATTTTTATAGATTTGTTTAATAGCCTTGTCATTTTCAAGCTCGTTTTTTATTCATATTTATGTTTGTGCTTGATTACGCCTTCCCAGCACCTGTGGGGTGGGGGGTGCCAGGCCCTGGTCTGTCCAGAGAAGGCGTGGGTGTGCCCCAGGACCCAGCGGGGAAGTGGGGCAGGGTCGCACCCCGGCCAGCGAGGTGGGGCCATCAGCCTGGGGGACACTTTGTCTGCGGTTCACCAGGCCTGGGGTGGCATCACTGCGGCAGGGGTGACGCCAGCCCCCACCCCCTCCCCTGCCGGCCGCCTGCTGACCCCGTGACCCTGCTGAGGTGGGGTGTGATGCACACAGACCCAAACAGAACTGGAATTTGTGCAAACGGATGAAGACTTGGAAACAATCTCGAACAGCTTCAATAAAGTTTCAAAACTGAGCCTGCAGCCGGCCTGGTCTGGGCTTGGCTGGGGAAGGGGACGTGGGGGTGCGGGGCACAGGGGAGAAGACCCCGTTTTTCTCTCAGATGAAGAGGGGGCACAAGGCCAGGGAGATGCTCAAGGCCTGGTTATGTGCTGTCCATGGGGAGACCCCGGGCATCCCTGCTCGCCTGTCCCTGCCTCCCCGGACAGGGTGGTCCCATCCTGTCCAGGCTGCCTGCTGTCCACCACTGCTGTCCAGTGGCGGTCTCCATCATCATCCCCATAGGAGGGGGGTGCCTACGCAGCCCAAAGTGGCAGCCTGGGGAGGGCCCTTGGGGTCTCCTGTTCCTTCCCTGTCGGCGGCCCCTTGGTGCTGCCTGACCCCAGCCTGCAGTCCTCAGCTTTCCTTCTGTGAGGGTCAGCGGCCGGCCCAGGTCCTGGGTGAGGTTGGTTAACGGGAGGGGGCAGCGTGGGGCTTGTAGGGTTCCTCAGAGCTGCTGGGCAGCGGGCCCCTCCTCCCAGAGGGTCTCCCCTCAAGCACTGGGTCTTAGGGGAAAGTCCGGCGCCCACCCTGGGAGATCTGAGAGCACTGGATGCAGCGGGAGGCTGAGACTGGCCTGGGGCCAGTGGCAGCCGTCTCTGAGCCTTGGGCCCGTCCGTTAGAGGGGAGGCTGGCGGGGCTGGGGGGTTCTCAGGGGGCCCTTCCCAGTCCAGGGTTCCACTCGCTTCCCCTGGGGTCTCCTAGCTGCAGGGTGTGGAGGCAGGGAAGGAGACAGCCCTGCTCCAGCCTGAGTCCGGGGTGCCCTGCCCCCCCCCGCAGTGTAGGGGAGACGGGAGGCCCCTGGTAGAGCATGAAATGGGCTCGGGGGAGGGGGGCAGAGGAGGGACGGGGCCACCTGGGCCGGCCTCCCCACCTGCCTCAGGCCTGGCCCTGCTGCTTCCCAGGTCAGGAGGCCACAACCTGTGGAGGTGAACTGATATTTACAGTCCTACTAAAGGATGCAGCTGCCTATGCACAGCGCCACAGGGTTGCGGCCCTAAGTGATAAAAAGGGAGCAGGGGGTACTGGGGGGGGGCCTTTCCCACCCTATGGGTCAAGCCCATGAGGAAGTTGATTCAGGGTGTAATTCTGGAACTGGCCGCAGGGTGGCAGCACCTGGTTTGGCGCCACCCCGCAAGGGCTTCCCATCCCCTACCGCCCTCTGGTGGTGATGGAAAAGCATTTCCAGAGCCCCCGGGGAAACTGAGGCAGGAGTAAGCTCTGAGCACCTCCAGCTTTCCTGCCTGAAGCCCCAGCTCCATCCCTGGCACCACCAGCAGCCAGTCCCTAAGCAGAAGCAGGAGTAGTAGCCCCCAAACAACCAACAAAGCTAGCCTGGTCTTCAGGACTAGAAACCCACTGCACACTATACCCGTTTGGCAGATGAGGAAACTGAGGCTCAAGCATTGCCCCTCCAGAGTCCCCGTGTCTGTCTGCATGCCTGGTGCCAAGGTGATGAGACAGAGCCAGCTGAGCCCCAACACTTATTTGCCTGAGAGAGGTGGTCACCTCCAGCCACCTGGCTCCATGGCCCGCTGCAGTTGCTTACTGCGCCCCCACGTGGGCAGAGCCGCATACTACACCCACATAGGCAAAGCTGCTCACTGAGCCCCCCTCTGGCCAGAGCTGCACACTGCACTGCCTGCACAGAAACACATCGCACCCCCGCCTGGGTTGCCACCTCTGCTTTATTGTGTCACAGTCCGGGGCTCTCCGGAGGAGTGGGGGGCAGCGGGGAGGGCTCCTGCCCGTGTCTGAGGGAGCTGAGTCCTGGGAGAGTCGGCACAGAGCAGGGCTCCAGGGCAAGAGGTGCTAGGGACGAAGTGACCCTCCAAGACGGTCCGGGAGGCCCAGGAGGGAAAGTGGAGCCTGATTCCGCTTCCCCGGGCCCACCAGCACCAGAGCCGGAAAAGCTGGGGAGTGGGGCAGGGGGCGAGCGAGCTCCTGACACCATGCAGTGCCCCCTGGCCCTGCCCTGTTGCGGCAGTGAGTTTCTCCGTGGCCACGTGGCCCAGCTTGCGGCTCAGTCCCCGGGGGCCTGTGCGATGGCCTTCTCCACCCGCCGGTACCAGGGCTGGATGCGTGAGTGTCGCATCAGGTCGTCAAAGGCCTCCAGGCCCTCCATCACCCGCAGCACGCCATACACCGCCTGGGGACAGAGCGGCACCGCCCATCACCCACCTGTGGGACCCACTGGTGCTGAGTGCAGCTGTGAAGCATGTGTGTGTGTGTGTGTGCGTGCGTGTAGGTATAAGCATGCATGTGTGCACACATATACATATATGCTGTGTGTGTGCACACGCCTGCACATGCCTGTGTATGTTGTGCATGTGCGTACTGTGTGCATACTGTGTGTACATATGTATGTGTATTGCGTGTGCACGTGTGCTGTGCACGTGTGTGCATATGTATGACCATGTGTGTCTGCTGTGTGTACGTGAATGTGTGCATGTGCGCATGCGTGAGTGTGCTGTGTGTGTGCTGTGTGCATGTGTGTGTGCCGTGCTGTTTGTGCACAAGTGCATGTGTGTATACAAGCAGACATGTACTATGTGTGCACATGTATCTGCTGTGCGTGCACGTGTGGATAGCATGCATGTATGTGTACGCTGTGTGCGTGTGTGTGCTCTGTGTGTGCGTGCACCCAGGGGGCTTGTTGGTCCTCTCGCCCCTCTCTAGGCACGAGCATACCTTGTTCCCTCGAGGACACTTGGGCTGAGCCCCAGGCCCAACGGTATGATCCACCCCGAACGCTGGATCCCAGGAACGCAGTAGGGCTGGGGTGCGGCCCAGCGGCCACATACATGAGCGTCTATCCCGCTAAGGCAGGCACCGAAGCCAGATGAGGTGCCACCCACTAACTTCGGCAGGGCCCGGGCCCACCCGAAGCTGAAACCAAGAGCACGAGCAGGGAGGGCCTGAGCTCGTGAACATTCCCACCCGAGCCCTGGATCCAGCTGTACCTGAAGCCGGCCCTTCCCTGAACCTGACGAGGACCCAGACGGCCCGGCCCACACGGCAGAGCGGGTGACGCCGTGGCCAGGCTCCCCTGCCCGGTCCCCACACTCACCAGGTCGGCCAGGTTCGGCTTCTGGCCCCCCATGAAGGGCCGGTCTTTGCCCACTGCCGCCACCCACTTGTCGGCCGCCTCGTAGAGGTCCTCGCGCACGTCGTCCCGCAGGTGGTGCCTGCAGGGTGGGGCGTCAGGGGAGCCACAAGCCAGGGACAGGATTCGGGGCGCTCAAGCCAGAGCTCGCTGACCCCCACCCAGGGCCACGGCGGCGCTCACCTGCTTTTGAGCCGCTTGCTGATGAGGTACATGGCGGCGGCGCCCAGGTACTTGGCCATGGCACCCTCCAGCGCCCCGAAGCGGCCCTCCTTCACGATGTAGTCGAAGGACGCCAGCGCCTCGGCCGGTGTGCGGTACACGTTGGGGGAAATCAGGTGCACCAGCCAGTCATCCGCCCACTGCCGCCACTTCATCTCCTCCCTGCGGCCAGGGGGCGCCGCTGAGGCCACCAGGTCCTGCCCTGCCCCCCCCCCCCACAGCCCACACCCACACCGCTCCCGGCAGTCAGACCCCCTGACTTATCACACCCCTCCCAAGAACCAGGTTACCCACACCCCCCCACCCCTCCCAGCAGCCAGTCCCCCTGTCTCATCACACCCCTCCTGACAGCCAGGCCCCCCACCCCTCCCAATAGCCAGGGCCCCGCCCCCCACACCCCTCCCGGCAGCCAGGCCCGGTCCCGTCCACTCACGTGCGGGCCTCCTTCCCACCATACATGCGCTGGGCCTCCCGCTCGTCCAGCATGAGCCAGTACTTGTTGCAGAACTCAGTCACCTCCTTGCCCTGCTCATTAGTGGCCTTCATGGGGGGGTAGTAGCTAATGACGTCTTCCAGGGGCTGCCTTTAGGGGACACCCAGACACACTCACCCACTGCCCTTCCCCGCCCGACAGCCCACCCTGGGACGAGGGGGCTGGAGGGGGGGGGGGCACTGTCCTCAAGGGAGGAGCATGGAAAGGGGTGTGGGAGGGACATGCAGATCCGGAAATGCCGGCAGCAGTGCCCAGCTCCGAGAAAGCGGGCAGAGGCCAGTCAAGGCCGCAGGCCCCTTACCCTGACACCAGGTAGGTCCCCAGGGCGCTGATGATGACCGAGGAGTCGTTCAGCTGTTGCTGGAGGGGGAGAGGTTGGTCAGCCCAGAAGCCCCTGACCTCGCGCTGGATCTCGGGGCTTCAGCAGGGCCTTTGGCGGAAGCCAAAGCTAGTGAGATCAGGCCTTGTGTTTCCAATTCCGGGCAGTCCCCTGCACACCCATTGAGTAAACGCCTCTCTGTGGCACAAGACAGAAGCACAGAGAGGTCCAGGGACGGTTCCGTGAGCCACGCAGCCTCACCCTGAGAAGCCCGGGGATTGAGTGGTCCACTCCAGCCTCCCACAGCCTCACCCCTGCACCACTCTGATTTCAGACACAGAGCTGAGGCAGGAGGGGTGGGAGGGAACTCCACCCTCCTTCCCCTTTGACCCCGTTATGGTTTGGAGTTCAGACGGTTAAGGGAAGAGTCTAGATTTATTGAGGACGAACTGTATGCAGTGACGCTGATCTCACACAACCAAGGCTACTGAGCAGGGCCCCACCCGAAGTGCACGGCACGACCCAGGCGGCGGGACGGGGCAGGGGCATCTGGAGGCTCACCAAGCGGTCCCCTTCCTGCGCCACCAGGATAGGCACTTTGCGGTAGGAGGAGAACTTGATCTCGGTCCTGCGCACGGGGTTCACCTCCACCACCTCGTAGGGCAGCGCGTGGAAGTCCAGGAAGGCGCGGACCTTGCTACAGAAGGGACAGGTCTTGTACTGGTACAGGGTCAGCTGTAGGCGGCCGGACAGGGAAAGCTGCGGGTGGGAGAAGGGGGCGGAGTCTGAGGCCCCGCCCCGGGAACCCAGATTCCCTGCCAGGTCCCCCGCCTGGAGGACCAGTACCGGGGGACAGAGGATGGCTGGCCAAGGGCCCTGGACAGTCCAGGCTCTAGCCCCTGTCCGGGTCTCGGCTCAGCGCTTCCCGGAGGCCCCACCGACGCAAAGCGCCGGTTTCCACCGGGTGTGCCCAGCCAGCCCCGGGGATTCGAGGAAACGTTCCCGACTAATCAGCCCATCGCCTTGGCGCTTGCCAGAGTGAAGTCCAGCTGCACCTCCCAAATGGGTGGTGGCCGCGCCCGACCCTGGGATCAGGCAGGAGTGCCAGGAACAGTCCTGGGGGGAGGGCACACTCCTAGGTGAAAGCCACAGCTGCAGGAGGGGAAACTGAGGCTGGGCAGACAGCTGCGAGGAACGCCCCCTCCGCGTCGCGTGCGTGTTCTGCGCCTTCCCATCCAGGAAGACACCTAAGAACCGGGTCGGGGCGACGGTCCAAGCGGGCCAGGGCAGCTGCCTCGCACGTGGCCGGCCCGGGCTCCATCCCCTCTCCCCCCCGCACCCCGCAGCGTCCCCACCGAGCCGCGCCGGAAGTGACCCCTGAGCCCCGAGCCCTGCAGGAGTCGGCCCCGGGTGTGGACCACCCACCCCTGCAGAAGAAGCCGGCGAAGAGCACGCGGATCCGAAACCCGGCCACCTCCCCAAGGTCACGGGCGCGCGCGCGCGGAAGGGGACTGGGCCGGCCCCGCCGATGCCCGCCCGGGAGGCCTCAGCCCGGGGTCGGGGACGGCCCGCACTCACCTGCGCGGCAAGACGCTCGGCTCGGAGGTCCTGGGCGTGCAGGTGCCCCCGCGCCGTGTGGTACAGCCCCAGGGCGCCCCCCAGGGCCAGCGCCGCCGCCCCCAGGAGCCGCGGGCTCCCCTTGCGGGCGGCGGCGGCGGAGGCGGCGGGGTCCGGGCCTCCCGCCGCTCCCGCCAGGCCGGCCCGGCCCGGCGCGGGGAGCCCCGGCGGGGGGCGGCTGCCCAGCCTCCAGGCCAGCGAGCGGCCGGCCGGCCACAGCGCCCGTACGGCTCGGGCCATGGCCACTCTGCACCGGCGCCGCGGGCGGGCGCGCGAAACCGAGAAGACGCGCGCGCGCACGCCCGCCTTAAAGGGCCCGGCCGCGGTTGCCAGGGGCGACGCTGACGCCGAGCGGGGAGGTCGGTCTCCCGGGAAAAAGGCGTGCGAGCAGCCCCAGCCCGGCTTCGGACCCCGGTCCGAGCTGCGCCCAAGTCCTCCCGGGCTGTCCGGAAGTCCTTCGATGTCTCTGACTTCTGACCCCGGGGAGGTGACCGGCGCGGGGGGGACCCGGGCCGCGGAGCCGCGGCGTGGCCCAGGGTGTGTGTGTGACTAGTAAACGTCGACTCATCAGCCCACCAAGAGACTGAAGTGTCCGGGGAAGGTCCCGGCTTCGGATCCTTGACGGCCGCGGAAAGGGTGAGCGCCTGCGGCTCGGGCTTTTCCTGCCCTCCCGCACAGCGGCAACGTTTCCCGAAACAGAAAGATTTCTCTCCACTTGGTGGGGGACCTCAGAAACCACGTGTCTCCGAGTCGGACACGCGGAGGCGCGGGCTACAGACCCGGCCGGTCGCCAGAGGCGGGGTAGGGCAGTCGGGGGTCCCGGCCTGCCCCCGCCCCACTGCCGGGCTCCCTCTCCCGGAAAGCGGAACCCGCAGGGCCTTGGCCTTTCCGCTCGCCGCTGTAGGACACATCGCCCCGCGGCGGCGCCACCAGGACGGGGCGGGGCGGGGGCGGAGTCAGGAGGGGCGGGGCCTGTGGGGGCGGAGTCTGGAGGGGCGGGACTATCCCCTTCTGCCCGGCGTGGAAACGCGAGACTTAGGCAGCGGCGAGAGTTGAGCGAGGGCTTGGGGGCGGTCTCAAGGCGGATGGGCGGGGCCAGCCCGCGCGCCTCTGCTACGGGGCGGGGCCTCTGGCGCCCCCTAGCGTTCGGCCGCGTCCTACCGTCCCGAGGCCCCCCCCCAGCCGCCCAGGCTTGAACCCGGACCTGGGCATGCTTGCGGGTGGAGGCGGGCGCGGCAGGCGAGGACGACGGCCTCGGGGAACGACCCGGGCGGGCTGCCGCCGCCGCCGTTGCTCTCCCGGGAAGGGGGCAAGGCCGCGGTGCCGGTGTGGAGGTTCCGCAGAGCCCACCTCGCCCCCGGCCCCCGGCGAGCTGCGAGCTGCAGGCGCCTTCTCGGGGCTCCGGGCGAGCACCGGCCCGTGGGTCCCTGGGATCGGCAGCCTCGCGGGCCGGAGCGAGAGCGCCGCGGCTAGGGGGTTGCCGGCCCAGGTTCGATCCCCGGCATCCCATATGGGCCGCCAGGACCGCCTGGGGTAACTCCTGAGTGCAGAGCCAGAGTCTGAGCATCCCCAAGTCTGGTCCAAAAAGGAGAGTGAGAGAGCTGGAGCAATAGCACAGCGGGTAGGGCGTTTGCCTTGCACGCGGCCAACCCGGGTTCGATTCCCAGTATCCCATATGGTCCCCTGCTTACTGCCAGGAGTAATTCCTGAGTACAGCACCCTGTGCATTGCCAGATATGACTAAAAAATAAATAAAAATAAATAAAAGGAGAGAGAGAAAGCACCGGCCTTAGAGGCGGGCGGGGGGGGGGGGGGGATGGAAGGGACCCTGGGGACAACTGGAAATGTACTCCGGTGGAAGGATGGGTGTTGGAACACTGTATGACCGAAATCCAGTCATGAACAGTTTTGCTTTTTAAGGGTCCAGCTCACAGTGATTCAATTAAAAAAGTTAAAAAAAAGGGGGGGGGCCGGAGCGATAGCACAGCAAGGTGTTTGCCTTGCATGCAGCCGACCTGGGTTCGATCCCCGGCATCCCATACCGGCATCCCATATGGTCCCCTGAGCACTGCTAGGAGTAATTCCTGAGTGCAAAGCCAGGAGTAACCCCTGAGCATTACCGGGTGTGACCCAAAAAGGGAAAAAAAAACCCCACCCCCTTGTGGAACTTTGGGAGAATCAGCCATCAGGCCCCTCCGGAATCTCTGAGATTTTAAAAGGGGGAAACAGCTGCTAAGAGCTGGGAAAACGCTGTACACGTTGCCATTTCTCTGTGAATCTAAAATTAAAAACACATTAAAAAAAAAAACTTGCGTGGTCCCCTGGGAGTGCTGCAGTGGTGATGCTGTCTGCTGTCTTCTGGAAAGATCTGTGGTGCGTGAGTCCATTTCTGTGATGGCTGAAGAGTGATTAGACCCTTTCTCAAACCCATTTGGTCGAGAAAGTCCTCTTAGCCTTTCACTGTAATGTGTGTGTGGTGGGGGGACCATCCCCTAGGGTCCTCTGAGCCCCGCCAGGAGTGATTCCTGAGTGCAGAGCCAGGAGGAACCCCTGAGCATTGCCGGGTGTGGCTGGAGGTGCTCAGAGGAACCCACGGGGCTGAGGGTTGAACCCCGGCCCTTTGCACTGCCCCCCCTCCCCGCATCCCTTATCCTTTTACTGTCTGTATCCTTATTCTTATAGTGTTCAACTACTCTCGTCCATGCCTCCTCTATTGGTTGTCATTGTTGTTTAGGGTGACACCCGGTTGTGCTTAGGGGTGACTCCTGGCAGTGCTGGGGGACCGTAGGGGATGCTGGGGATCGAACCCAAGCTGCAAGGCAAACACCCTATCCCTTCTATCACATGGACCCTGATGTTGTTTTTTGGGGGGGGATTGTTGTTTTGTTTATCACGGGGGTTGGGGGGCAGTTCCAATGATGCTCAGGGCTGACTCCTGGTTCTGTGCTCAGGGAGCGCTCCTGGCAGGGCTTAGGGAATCCTAGACGGTGCTGGGGATTGAGCCCAGCTGGCTGCATGCCAGGCAAGCGCCCTCTCTGCTGTGCTACCGCTCTTGACCCTGGCAGCGTTTTCTAATTGCTTACCCCCAAGGTAGCCTCAGGCCCCCAAGATTCAGCAGGTGCCTGTCCCCACCTGCTCGCAGGGCTCATGGGCCCAGCCTTGGTGTTGCTGGGGAGATGGAACCAGAGATAAGGTGCTTGCCAACACTCGTTCAAATCCTTGGCACCTCCTAAGGGCCCTGCCAGGGACCTCTGCTGAGCACAGAGCCAGGAATAGCCCCTGAGCACCACTGGGTGAGGCCCAAACCCGAATCCTCACCCCCTCAAACAGAAGGGGGGAGACTGGGTCAGTTGCAGGAAGAAGACCGGGTGAGGGCAGGCAGATGGACAGTTGGCTCCTCGCCTGGAGTGTTAAATCAATAACGGGGTGTGATCTCTTGCGGTAACTGACCCACTGGGGAAATTCTCTGGCCTCTGTGGATTGCAGAAGCCGCCGTGCAGAGCGGGAACCTGGGTGTTGGGAAAGCAGGAAGGAGGGACAGGGCGGAGGGGCGATGTGGCAGGCAGGGACCCAGCCAGTGGGGCTGAGTTCCTGAAGGGTTTGAAGACTGCCCTGCCTGCCTGGGGGAGGGGGGAGTAGGCACCACCTAATCGCTGGGGATCAAGTTCACGTGGCGGGAATAAATATATTCCCAGGGCTGGAGTGAAAGTACAGCGGGGAGGGCGTTTGCTTTGCACGCGGCCAACCTGGGTTCAATCCCCGGCATCCCCTATGGTCCCTTGAGCCCCGCCAGGAGTGATTCCTGAGTGCAGAGCCAGGAGGAACCCCTGAACATCACCGGGTGTGGCCCAAAAAGAAAGAAAGAAAAAAAAAAGGTGCAAACCTTTAAAAAAAAAAAAAGCCCCTACAGAGGATTGGGCTGGAGCGATAGCACAGCGGTAGGGCGTTTGCCTTGCACGCAGCCCATATGGCCGACCTGAGTTCGAGTCCTCTGCCCCTCTCGGAGAGCCTGGCAAGCTACCGAGAGTATCTCGCCCGCACGGCAGAGCCTGGCAAGCTCCCCGTGACGTATTCGATATGCCAGACACAGTAACAACAAAGTCTCCAATGGAGACGTTACTGGGCCCGCTCGAGCAAATCGATGAACAACGGGAGGGCCTTTACCTTTACCTTTATAGAGGATTGGGGTGGGGGCTCGCCCTGCAGCCCTGGAGACACAGATCAGGGGATCAGGGGCAATCCCCGGAGCTGTATGGACTTGGGGTGCTGAGGGGCCCGGGGTGGGGTGCAGGTCTGTCCATCAGGCTCTTCTTCAAGATTCCACCTGAGAGCTGATTCCAGTGGTTAACGATAAGGCCCCAAGCACCCACCACTGCCCCCCCTTCTCCTGAGGAAACAGCCACTTTAAAGGAAGCTCAGCTTGTCCCTCTGATGTCAGTGGCCTCCACGGGTGACTTATGTGAAGCGAGGAGGAGAAAGAGGGCCACCTTCTCCCCCCACCACCACCTCTGCCAGCCAGGACCCAGGGTTACTGGGTTCTTGTCTCACCTCGCAGAAGGGAATTTCAGGAGTAGACAAGCAGTGAAGTAAACAGATTTTATTTGGAGGGTTTTTGAAAGTGCGGAGAGGGAAAGAGGGAGAGAGAAAGAGAGTGACGCGCTCAAGAGAGAACCTGGGCTTCTACGAGGGCAGAGAGAACCTCTACACACATCCCAGCATTAGACAAGAAAGCAAGAAAGTCCACATCTCAAGAGGGAAGATGCGGGCGACACATGCGCTCAGGTACCACATGTGGTTGGCCACGTGGGCACAAGCAGCACATGGGCTGGGGCAACATGCACGGGGTTACTCCTGGCTCATGCACTCAGGAATGAATGCATGCACTCATGCACTCATGCACTGGTGGTGCTCGGGGGACCACATGGGATGCTGGGAATGGAACCCAGCTTGGCCGCGTGCAAGGCCCTCCCCGCCGTGCTATCACTCCAGCCCCAAGGTGGCTTTTATAGACTCTTCTTGGGTTGGTTTGTTTCTTTATTGTTGTTGTTGTTGTTTCTTTTTGCTTTTTGGGTCATACCTGGCGGTGCACAGGGGTTACTCCTGGCTCTGCACTCAGGAATTACCCCTGGCGGTGCTCAGGGGACCATATGGGATGCTGGGAATCGAACCCGGGTCGGCCGCGTGCAAGGCAAACGCCCTACCCGATCTGCTATCACTCCAGCTCCATTCTTGGATTGTTTTGATTCGGAACGTTTTGGAGTCTTCTCCAGGCTGAATCACTAAAGTTAATTGGACTAAGGAAGAGGTCCCAGAGTTTTGAAGAACTTCACAGGGAGGGGTCCAATCTCCTCAGGATCCGCTGCTAAAGGTGTTATCAGGTCTCTGTTTTCCGTATCCACAGGGTGGATCAGCCTTAGAATTCTCCTCCCAGAAGTTTTGTTGATCTAAGCTTCATTGCTGCGGGCCTTTCCCTGTCTACCTACCTAGATCACGTCTGGCCCCCACACAGCACTGCCCGTGGCCCCACCATCAAAGACAAACCCAGGACGCGGCGCAGGCAAATGTCAGGGAGCCTCTGGCACCACCCGGTGCCCCAAACACCACCAAGATTGACCCCCACCCCCAAGCACCCAGCTGGGAGTAATCCCTGAGCATTGGCACTGTTGCCCAAAATAACCCCAAAATGAAAAGGTGAGGTTGCAGGGACCAAATGGCAACCAGGACCAAATAGCGACCGGCTGATGAGACAGTAACATTTCGGAATCAGAGATGACCCTGTCCCCAGTGAGGAAGACAGGACGTAGGGCGCCAGGAGGCCACCTGACTGCATTCCATCCATCCCCCTGCAGATAACGGGAGCCAGACCAGGCAACTAGCCAACCAGCTGTGGTTCCCTTTTCCCGCCCAAAACAATTTAAAAACCTCCTTGGTCCCTCCCAGGGTGCGGCTCTACCCCAGCCTCACCCGCGATTCATAGTCTGCCCTGGAGGGCACCCCAATAAACTTCCCCCTATTTCCTTCACTTTATTCGTCTCTGTCCCTCTGTCTGTGCCAGACAGGGTTCCCCAATCTAGCAGAAAATAAGATGATGAAAATGCGTTTCACGCTCCATGTGATGTCCGGGATGGAACCCAGTCCCCCGCGTCACAGCCTGTGTTTCATCCCTTTGCATGCCCCCCACCACACACACACATACATACACTCACACACTCTCACACATATACACACACAGTCTCACACACACATATACACACTCACACACATATGCACACACTCACACATATACACACACTGATACACACACTCAAAGACACACACATACACACACTCATAAACATACACACTCACACTCACACACATACACACATACTCATACACACATATTCTCACACACACTCAAACATATACACACACTGATATACACACACAAACTCACACACATACACACACACTCGCACATATAAACACACACTGATAACACACACACACACACACACACACTGCCAAACAGGGGCTCAGAGTCCTAGTATGCCAGTCAGGTCCTGTCCAGGTGTTCCTGCGGGTGAGACCATTCAAGGTGGGGCTGAACGCTGCACAAGCTTCCAGGACCCAGACCCCGGGGCTAGACAGGATCGTGAGGTGCAGGGCACCCAGGGGCCAGATCAGACGCCATCCCTGGGGGAGTGGTGATGTCCTGCCAGGAGTCTGGGGGTAATGGACCAGCCAGCAGCACCCCTGTTTAGGGGAAGAGACGGTTCTGAGCTCCCGCGTCCAAGTGTGGATAGTTCTGAACCCCAGCGATAGCACAGCAGAGAGGGTGTTTGCCCTGTATGCGGCCAACTCAGGTTCGAGTCTCAGAATCTCATAGGGTCCCCTGAGCACCACCAGAAGTGACCCCTGAGCATTGCCAGGTGTGGATCCTAGAAAAAAGTGGACAGAGAACAGGCTAGCGGTCTGCATGGACAGTCCCAGAACCTGCAGAGTTGGACCCTGCGTGGATTTGGACCCCCCCCAGGGGAGCACTGTGGATTGCCCTCCTGGGTGCTTGGGGGCTGCATGGAGCTGCATCACAGCGCCCCCTACAGGGAGCGACAGGCAGGACTGGGCAAGCCTCGGAGCAGCCAGAAATCCCGGGGTCCCAGCGTCTCCCTTCCTGCCCCCTCAGGATTTTCAGAGTATGGCCCTGCCCCTCCAGATCTCCCCACTTCACATTGTGGGGCAGAGCATGGACCCTCCCTAATTTAAATGGGGGGCTGTCCTGGGCCGGAGAGAGAGGACAGCAGGTAAAGCGCTTGCCTGGCAAACAGCTGACCCGGGTTCAATCCCCAGCAGCACATTGGTCCCTGAGCCCCTCCCCCCCAGGTGTGATCCCCGAGCACAGCCCAGGTGTGAACCAAACCCCAGTCTCCAGAACTGGGGTGCCAGAGAGCTAGCTCGACAGGGACACAGGCTCTGCATGCAGGAGGTGATCTCTGGCTTCTGCCCCCCAAGTACAGAGCCTGAGGGTCACCCCTGAGCACTACTGGTATGGCCCCAAAACAAGCCAAAAAGTTGGGGGGGGCTCCCTCAGCTCAGCCAGTCTTTCCATACCCAACAGTCACTGTTCTCCGGGATACCTTGATATTCATTTTTGGTTTGGGGGTGACACAAGGAAGTGCTCAGGGCAGAGTATGATGGGGGGACATAGGACTCTAGTCCTTTGAGCCCTCTCCCCGATACCTTTTTTTCAGGGGGGGAGCATATTCTGCAATGCTCAAGGGTTACTCCTGGTTCTGCACTCAGAAATTCCCCGTGACTGAGGCTGGAGCAATAGCACAGTGGGTAGGGCATTTGCCTTGCACGCAGTCAACCCAGGTTCGATTCCCAGCATCCCATATGGTCCCCTGAGAACTGCCAGGGGTGATTCCTGAGTGCAGAGCCAGGAGGAACCCCTGTGCGTCACCAGGTGTGATCCAAAAAGCAAAAAAAAAAAAAGAAAGAAATTCCCTGTGACAGTGCTGGGGGACCCTTTGGGATGCCGGGGATTGAACTGGGGTCTGCCACGTACAAGGGAAGCACCTCCCTGCTGTACTATCGTTCCGGCCCTCGCCAACCAATACCTTTTAAGCTCAGAGTGGTGCCCAGTGCAGTCACAGGTGTGGGCACCCCCTGAGATTTTGGGGCCACATAGAGTGCCCAGGCCGTGCCCATCTTCTTCCCCAAGAAAGTGGGCAGACTCTGGGCAGCACCAGCAAACTCCCTCCCTGGCACCATCCTGTAGACCCCAGCCTGCCTGATGAAGTCCCCCTATGGTGTGGTGCTCAGTGCTCAGTGCTCATGGCCGAGCCTGCTGGGAGTCGGCCCAGGAGCCCAAGGCATGGCCAGAGCTTGTCAATGTGGTCCAGGGTTATGCAAAATAAAGGTCAAGGGGGCTGGAGAGATAGCACAGCGGGGAGGGCGTTTGCCTTGCACGCGGCCAACCCGGGTTCGATTCCCAGCATCCCATATGGTCCCCTGAGCACCGCCAGGAGTGATTCCTGAGTGCAGAGCCAGGAGTAACCCCTGAGCATCGCCGGGTGTGACCCAAAAAGCAAAAAAAAAAAAAGTAAATAAAGGTCAAGGCCCTGACCCGAAGCACCCTGTGGGGTTTCTAAAAAATGAAGCTTGTTCCTGTCAGCCCCTCTGGGATGGGTGCCAGCCGCCTCCCCACCCACATCCCAGCAGGAAGCTGGGTCTGGCTTCATCCCAGCCTGTGCTTGCACTGGGTCCAGGCAGCAAAGGGGATGCAGAGGGCCTGGCCTGGGGTGTCCTTCCCTCCTGGGAATGTCCACTGGCTGCCCCACCCTTCTGGCCCCTCCGAGACCCAGGAAGCACCTCTGGCCAGTTGGGCTGCCGCATTCCCAGCGCGAATGGTGTGGGAGGGAAGGGCCTGACCTGGCCCGCGGGGCAGGGAAGAAAAGCCCTGGGCAGCAGGGGACCAGCAGCCCCACGCCCCTGTCACCAGAGCCCCAGAACCCCAAGTCACCCCCACTTCTTTCCTGCCCTCTCGCTCTCTCCTTGCACCATCCCGGTCAGGGTGGGGGGGTGGGGGTGAGGGGGTTGGAAATCTTGCCAAGTGTTTCCGCTCCGCAGGAGTTGCTGGGAGTTGCCTCACCCTTCCTGGATTTGGCAAAGGGTGAATCATCCGCTCTGAGTGGCTGGCTGGTGTCCAGGTGGGGCCCCATAAATAGGGCTCCCAGGCCAGCTCCGCACTGCCCACACCCCACCCCCTCCGGCCCGCAGGACGCAGCAGCTGCTGCCGCAGCAGTGCCCGCCTCTGCCCCGCGCTGACCATGCCCCGGTGTGTGCTGTGGTGGGGCCTCGCCCTGCTGGGGGCCCTGCAGGTCCAGGCCAAGCCCCCCTCCCAGCCGGACCGGGTCCCGGCTCCGTCCCTGCTCAAGATCCCTCTGCAGCCCGACTTCGAGGATGACCAGGTGAGAGGCCAGTGGGCGGTCCAGGAAGGAGGGGGGGGCATGGGGAGACAGTGAAGGGATGGCCAGAGGGGACAGCGCTTGCCTTGCATTGCAGGTGTCCAGGGGTCTGTCCCCTGCAGCCCTCTGAGCCCTGCCAGGAGTGGCCCTGAGCGCAGAATCAGGAGTGACCCCGCCCAAAAAAAATCCACAAAATAGTACAAACAAAATAAAAGGCAAGGGCATAGGGGTGAGTCCTGCCACACAACAGGTCCAGGGCTCTGAGTTTGATCCCCGGCCTTGCATGGCCCCCCAACCCCCAAGCCTCACTAGGTCAGGACCCTTTACAAAACAAAACAAACACTGTCCTCCTGTAGTTCATCGATTTGCTCGAGGGGGCCCAGTAACATCTCCATTTTTTTGAGACTTGCTGTTACTATGTTTGTCATATTGAATATATATTCATATATATTCAATATTGAATATTGGATATGTCATGCCAGGCTTTGCCGTGCAGGCGAGATACTCTTGGTAGCTTGCCGGGCTCTCCGAGAGGGGCGGAGGAATCGAACCCGGCTCGGCCGGACTGGCTGCAACCCTTTACAAAACTTTTTTTTTTTTTCTGTTTGGGTCACACCCGGCTTTGCACAGGGGTTTCTCCTGGCTCACGCACTAAGGAATTACTCCTGGCGGTTCGCAGGGGACCAGATGGGATGCTGGGAATCGAACCCGGGTCGGCAGCATGCAAGGCAAACGCCCTATGCTCTGTGCTATCGCTCCAGCCCCACAAATTTTTTTAACAGTGGGGTGTGTGGGGAGGAGGGAGCAAGGGAACACCAGGGAAGGAAGGGAGGGCAAGATTGGTGTTGGGATATTTTAAGCCCAAGACTCAACTGTCAATAACTTTTTCCATCATGGTTCTTTGTTTTTATTTATTTATTTATTTATTTATTGCTTTTTGGGTCACACCTGGCGATGCACAGGGGTTACTCCTGGCTCTGCACTCAGGAGTTACTCCTGGCGGTGCTCAGGGGACCATATGGGATGCTGGGAATCGAACCCGGGTCGGCCGCGTGCAAGGCAAACGCCCTACCCGCTGTGCTATCTCTCCAGCCCCCCATCATGGTTCTTTGATTAAATAATTTTTTAAAAGTTTAATAGTCTTAGGAGCGATAGCACAGCAGGTAGGGCGTTTGCCTTGCACGCAGCCAACTCAGGTTCGATCCCTAGTATCTCATATGATCCCCCGAGCACCGCCAGGAATAATTCCTGAGCGCAGAGCCAAGAGGAACCCCTGAGCATCGCTGGGTGTGACCCAAAAAGCACAAAAAATAAATAAATAAAAGAAGGGGGAGGAAGAAGGATGGGACTTGGGGAACCCCTGATCCCCAGCTGAGGCTCAGTCTGTCCTTGGGTCCCTGATGGAATCTGCACCTCATGTTCCCCTTTGTCCCCAACCTGAAACTGGTGTCCTCTGTGAGGGCCCCGAGTCCCCACAGCACCCATTTCAGCACCTCCTTCAGGCTCCCTGCTCAGTGGGGCACCCCTTCCTGCCAGAGCCGGGGCCCCTCCCGGGCCCATGGCTCCCAGCCCCATCAGTGCCAGCCCCGATGCCCGGTGAGGCCCTGCTGCCCATTGAGCGGCGCCCACGGGACAGCCGAGCAGGTGCGGGCTGTTGCTTCCTGCGACGCTGGCAGCTGAGAGCCTGCCATCGCTGCCCTGCAGTTCCAGGGGAAGTGGTACGTGGTGGGTCTGGCGGGGAACAACGTCCACAAAGAAACTGAAAACCAGACTAAGATGTACGCCACCGTCTACGAGCTGGAGGACGACGGCAGCTACAACGTCACTTCCATCCTGCAGCGGTGAGCCCCTCTGCGGGACGGGCCCCCGGGACCGCGAAGGAGGGCTGATGTCACAGCCGGGGCCCAAGGGAGGGAGGACGCCGCCTCTGCCCTGCTGGGGTTGCTCACTCACTCACTCATTCACTCACTCACTCATTCACTCACTCATTCATTCACTCGCTCTTTTTTTTTTCTTTTTGGGTCACCCCCGGCGATGCACAGGGGTTACTCCTGGCTCTGCACTCAGGAGTTACTCCTGGCGGTGCTCGGGAGACCAGATGGGATGCTGGGAATCGAACCTGTGTCGGCCACATGCAAGGCAAACACTATCACTCCAACCCCTCATTCACTCACTCACTCACTCATTGTCACTTACTCCTTTACTCATTTATTTCTTCACTCATTCACTTGTTTATTCACTCACTGATTCACTCACTTATATGTTCACTTATTCACTTATTTAGTCAGTGATTTGCTTGTTTTCTTACTAATTCACTCATTTATTTGTTCATTCACTCACTCACTCATTCTCTCACTTGTTCAGTCATTTGTTCCCTCCCTCGGTTCTTCAAGCAGCAGTCCTTAGTCCCTCCAGCACAAAAGCGGAACTGGGGGACAGACTGGCATCAGGAAACAGGCAGAGGGCTCAGGGGGTCAGGCTGGGGCTGGGCCCTGGAGGAGCCCTTGAGCCTCAGAGGAGGTTCTAGCCACAGAACCCAGGGACCACCACGCTGGCCAGCCGCAGGCTCCCAGCTGGGAGGGTCCTGGGAAGGGGGTGCAGAGAAGAGGAAGAGGCAGGGGGAGCCGGGCCACTCATGCTGGGCTCTGGCACCGGGAGTGCGGCTGGAGCAAGGAGCAGGAACAGGTTTGGGGAGAAGGGTTCTGGGGTGCCCAGGTACAGGGCGTGGCGCAGGTGAGCGGTCAGAGTTAGGGGGAGATGAGACTGGAAGGAGGAAATGCCAGGCATGGAGGCATCAGGAGTCAGCAGGCAGCGGTGCCGAGGGCCGAGCAGGCAGGGTGGGCCTCGAGGGGCTCTGACGGGAGACGGAGGGGGTGGGTTGTCTTGGGCCTCAGCCTTCTGCCCCTTCCAGGGCCCCCCTGGCCTGAGTGCCCTCCCTCTCCCTCCCCCATCCTCAGGGAGGAGCACTGTGATATCTGGGTCAGAACCTTCGAGCCCAGCTTCCAGCCTGGCCAGTTCAACCTGGGCAACATCCAAAGTGAGTTCTGGGCGAGGAGGCCTCAGATTGGGGGCAGGGATGCTCTTCCTGGTGGGGGGCTTTGCAGAGATGCTGGTGTGGGGGGCTGCTTCCTCCCGCCCGGCTGAGCCAACTATGCACGTGTCCCCCCCCAGACTACCCCCAGCTGCTGAGCTACACCGTGCGTGTGGTGTCCACGGACTACAACGAGACAGCCATGGTGTTCTTCAAGAAAGTGGGCAGGGACCACAGGGAGCACTTCAAGGTCACCCTCTACGGTGGGTACTCCCCTCACTCTCGGGGCGACCCTCTATGGGTGCCCCCTCATTCTCAGGATGACTCTGGATGGTGGGTGCTTCCCCAAGGGGGCCCTCTCTGGAGCTCCCCCTACTCTTGGGGTGATCCTCTCTGGTAAGTGCTCCCCCCTCTCAGGGTGACCCTTTACAATGGGTGCCCCACCCTCAGGGTGACTCTCAGGCTGGGGAGAAAAGGATCGTCCCCTCCCACACCCCGAGGCCTAGTGTGGCTGCAGCTCTGCTCTGGGGGGGGGGGGGGGCCCAGGTGCAGGGAGAGGGAGACTCTGAGTAAGGACGGTTCTCAGTGCTCACGGGACTTTCTTGGTCACACACAGGGCGGAACAAACTGCTGAAGCCTGAGCTGAAGGACAATTTCATCCTTTTCGCCAAATCCCTTGGCCTCAGAGACAACAACATCGTCTTTCTGGTCCCCAATGGTAATGGAGGGCAGGAGGGGGGTATGGGTGATGCCCACGCCCCTGGTGTAGGTGGGGAGAGACTGCACCCCTGCTCTGGGCTCAGATGCCCCCGGCAGCATCTTGGGTTCAGTAAGATCCTGGGCCCCACTCCCTGGCAGTGAGCCCAGGTGTGTCCAGGTGGGAAAGGGGGTTAGAGGTCGCACTGGCCAGGGCCACTGCCCCTCAGTGCCCAGACCCACGCTGGCCGAGGCCACCTCCTGAATCTTTGCATCACCTCCAGCTTGGTTCTCGGACCACTTTGCTCCCTAGTGCTGAGGGGCTTCGGGGCCCCACGGGTAATGCTGCACGTGTGGCCAGGGTGTCCTGGCCTCACTCGCTCCCTCTGGAGTCGGGGTACCCCCGGCCTATTCATGTCAGGTATTTTTTCCCAGTTCCCTTTAGGGGTTCTCGGGTCTGCTCTCAAGCTGGAGCCTGGTTCTCAGGGGTCACAACTCACCCCACCCACTTTCTCCCCCAGATCAGTGCATCGATTAAGGAGTAAAAGCAGGACCAGGCTGAAGGGAGCCAGGGGGCCCACTTTTGCCCTCCCCCTCCTGTCTGTCCACCCGGTCCTGTCTTCCTCCCGCCAGCCTCAGCCACATGCCACCACCGTGCTCCCAGGCCCGTGCTCCCCTCAGCACTACTGACCGCCCCCCTCGCCTGCTAAATAAACATGTGCCCATGCACCCCGTCTGCTCCTTGACTCCTGGGCCAAGCAGAGAACAGGTCACGGGGTGGGGGGGTGTTGGGCCAAGACCCCAGCCCCGCCCTGACCCATACCCCCAATGTGCAGTAACCTGGCCAGCATGATTGGGGGGATGGGGCCATGCCACACACCCACACCTGACCCCCCGGTGCCTGTTCGTTCTGGTCCTACAGCCCTGGGCCAACCAGAACCCGGGAGCTGGAGGGAACTGGGGGCTGAGGTGCTCCCAGGATCCTTGTGGATATTCGAAATAAACATTCCAGGCCTGGCTGGTGATGGAGGGCTGGGGGCAGGGTTAGGTACAGTCTCCCAGGTTGCAGTTTTCCTGGGCTCTTCCTGCGGGCTCTGATCTGAGAGGAAGGTTCAGGCAAGCTCTAGCCTTTGAGCTAAAGCAAGGGCTCACCTGGAGAGTGATAGTACAGTGTGTAGGGTGTTTGCCTTGCTTGCAGCTGACCTGGGTTCGATCCCCAGCGTCTCCTATGGTCCCCCAAGCACTGCCATGATTGCTTCCCGAGTGAAGAACTAGAAGTGACCCCTGAGCACCACCGAGGGTGACCCCTCCAAAGAAATGAAAGGGCATCCCAGGAAGGGGGCCCCTGCCTGCTCTCCATCCTTAATGGGGTGAGAAATGAGGCTTTGACTGGTTCCAGTTCCTCCTGCTCCCTCCCCCTTCCCCCTCCCCCTCTGCCCAGCGTCAGACTGCACCAGTCAGCTGATTGGGGTTCAGGGTTCAGTCCTTGAAATTTTTTTGGAGATGCTAGCCTTGATGTGGGCCTCGCATGGTGCGGCCAGCCCTGCCCAGTTCTCCATCGGGGTACAGACCAGTTCAAAGCTAAAGAGTCCCTCTGCCTGGTCCCCATGATGGGGACAGACTCTAAATAAGGAGGACTGGGCGGGCTGTCTCCCTGGGCAGGGCTGGTTCTTGGAGAGTCTTACTGGGACCATGGCTTTTCACCAGCCCAGAGAGAGAGGATGACTCCCTGTCCCCAGATGGGCACAGACCTCGTGTCCAGAGGTGGCACAGAGACAGCAGAGCATGGGTCACTGATGTGGACACAAGGCATGGGCGTCTTTCTGAGCTCTGGCTTGTCCCCTGAAGGACAGAGGGCCAAGGAGAAAGGCAGTCACAGATGTGAGACCAGGGGCTGGAGTGATAGTACAAAGCATTTACCTCGCACAAACCGACCTGGGTTCAATCCTCGGCATCCCATAGGGTCCCCCTGAGCGCCACCAGAAGAGATCCCTTAGTACCGGGAGTAAGCCCTTGAGCACTGCTGGGTGTGACCCAAAAAACAAAGTAAAAAACAAAGCAAAACAACAACTACATGTATTTTGTCCCCGCGGAGGAGTCGGCTACAACCTGGAGGTGCCCAGCCACGGAGGGCTAGAATCTCCTTGGACAGCCGGACAGTCTGGAGCCGGGGAGAGACTCTGGGCTAGGGAAGTGGGCGGGACCCTGGAGGAGGAGCCTGGAGGTGGGGCGGGGCCGACCTCTCTCCGCTTGCCTAGTGGAGAAGACGCGAGATTTGGGCGGAGCTCTGTCCTTGGGGGCGGAGCCTAAGCAGAAGAGGGCGGGGCTTCGGGTTGAGGTGGGGCGGGGGCGGGGGCAGAGTAGGGGAGGAAGAGTGAGAATTGGGCGGGGCCGTGGCCAGGACCTGGAGGCGGAATGGGAAGACTAATGGGGGCGTGGCCCAGGTCAGGAGGTGGGATTGGAAGACTGCTGGGGCGTGTCCCTGGTCTGGAGGCGGGGTTGGAAGGCGTCTGGGGCGTGGCCTGGGTCTGGAGGCGGGGTTGAAAGGCGTCTGGGGCGTGGCCTGGGTCTGGAGGCGGGGTTGGAAGGCGTCTGGGGGCGTGGCCCGCGTCCGGAGGCGGGATTGGAAGGCGTCGGGGGCGTGGCCCGCGTCCGGAGGCGGGATTGGAAGGCGTCGGGGGCGTGGCCCGGGTCTGGAGGCGGGATTGGAAAGCTAATGAGGGCGTGGCCCGGGTCAGGAGGTGGGATTGGAAGACTGCTGGGGCGTGTCCCTGGTCTGGAGGCGGAATTGGAAGGCGTCTGGGGCGTGGCCTGGGTCTGGAGGCGGGGTTGAAAGGCGTCTGGGGCGTGGCCCGGGTCAGGAGGTGGGATTGGAAGACTGCTGGGGCGTGTCCCTGGTCTGGAGGCGGAATTGGAAGGCGTCTGGGGCGTGGCCTGGGTCTGGAGGCGGGGTTGAAAGGCGTCTGGGGCGTGGCCCGGGTCTGGAGGCGGGGTTGGAAGGCGTCTGGGGGCGTGGCCCGCGTCCGGAGGCGGGATTGGAAGGCGTCGGGGGCGTGGCCCGCGTCCGGAGGCGGGATTGGAAGGCGTCTGGGGCGTGGCCCGGGTCTGGAGGCGGGGTTGGAAGGCGGATGGGGGCGTGGCCCGCGTCCGGAGGCGGGATTGGAAGGCGTCTGGGGCGTGGCCCGCGTCCGGAGGCGGGATTGGAAGGCGTCGGGGGCGTGGCCTGGGTCTGGAGGCGGGGTTGAAAGGCGTCTGGGGCGTGGCCCGGGTCTGGAGGCGGGGTTGGAAGGCGTCTGGGGGCGTGGCCCGCGTCCGGAGGCGGGATTGGAAGGCGTCGGGGGCGTGGCCCGCGTCCGGAGGCGGGATTGGAAGGCGTCTGGGGCGTGGCCCGGGTCTGGAGGCGGGGTTGGAAGGCGGATGGGGGCGTGGCCCGCGTCCGGAGGCGGGATTGGAAGGCGTCTGGGGCGTGGCCCGCGTCCGGAGGCGGGATTGGAAGGCGTCGGGGGCGTGGCCCGGGTCTGGAGGCGGGGTTGGAAGGCGGATGGGGGCGTGATCCTTGCACCTCCTCTTTGGGGGCGGGACCGCGCGCCAGCTTGAGTCCCGCCGCGGCGTCCCGCCCTTCCGGTCCCGCGGCCGGTCCACCGCATCTGCTTTCCGCCCGGCGCGGGCAGTGGGCGCGACAGTCGCCTCGTTCCGGCGTCGCGAGGCCCTTCCGGCGCACAAGCACGCAATGTCGGGCCCCAACGGGGACCTGGGCATGCCGGTGGAGGCGGACGTGGAAGGCGAGGACGACAGCTTCGGGGAAGCAGGTGACCGGCGGGCTGCCGACGCGACCGTTGCTCTCTCGGGGCGCCCTCCCGGGAAGCGGGACAGGGCCGCGGTGCGGGAGTGGAGGTTCCGCAGAGCCCGCCCCGCCCCCGACCAGCGGCGAGCTGCGAGCTGCAGGCGCCTTCTCGGGGCTCAGGGCGAGCACCGGCCCGTGGGTCCCTGGGAACGGCAGCCTCGGAGGACTGTGGGCTGCAGGGGTGCTCGGCCTTTTGGGGTTTGCTCGCACCGCAGTGCAGAGGGGCCTCCCGGCAGGCTGGCTAGGACGTTTTGACTTGGAGAGGGGAGTGGGCGCTTTCTGGGAGGGCCACGCCCACCCTGCTGAGTCAGCGTCTCCGGCCCACCTTTGCACGACTAGCCGCAGCCTTGAGACCAGCGTGCTCTGCCTGTGAAGCTGCCGTCAGGGGTGGGGGATTGCGGGGAGTGTACCGAGGCAGCCGCTAGCTCCCACCTCCCCGTCTCCAGCCTGGTTCTCTGCAAAATAAGCATCGTGATGCGGTACCTCCTGCGTTTGAGATGTGTCAGGATGAGATGGAAGATGCGTGAAAAATATGTAGTGGGTTCCTACGTGCAGATGTTTAGGAAGTGGTTATTATCCTCCCTCGTATAATAAGGCTAATTCATTTATCGGGAGGTTATTATCCTCCCTAGTATAATAAGGGTAATTCATTTATCGGAAGGCCAGGCCCAGTGGAACGTGGTCTAAAATAGGGAGTCTGTTCTATAGGTTTGGCTGAAATTCACAGCCCTGTAATTGACCTCTTTGACGGGGCTCCTTCTGGGGCTAGCGACATAGGACAGGAGTTCAGGTGCTATAATCTTGCATCCTACTGACTTGTTCAAATCCCAGGCGCCACATAAGATCCCCTAAGCACCCTCAGTAGTAATCTCTGAACTAGGAGTAGCCCCTGAGTACCTCTGAGTACCTGAACAAAACAAGTCCCAGCCAGTGGGGTTCAGTCTAGTCAGAGTTGTATACCCACGACTCATGTCACCGTGGTCTTGGAAGGGTTGAACACTCCACCACCCAGCTTCTACTAAATAAGGGACAGAGACTGGCTAAGAGGGGGTGTTGGTGGGTCTGCCATGGGCACCGCTGGTGGCCAGTGGCCAGAGGTATGTGTGTGGTAGCCGTGAAGGGGCCATCAGGAACAGGCAAGGCTAGGGAAAGCAGATAGGGGAACTGAGAACCGCCCTTAGCACAGATCAAGCCCGCCCCTGGGGTGTATCAGCCGACAGTCTCTGCTTCTGACCCAGCATGTGAAGGTTAGTGAGGCCCTGGCCGGTGACCTGTACGGCCAGGCCAGTCCTTTCAGGCTTCTTCACCGTCGGACTCCTCCTCACCGTGGCCCAGTGACCCCCCGCTTTCCAGACAGGTGGGGTAACTTGCTGTCGGAGGCCGAGCTGGGACCAAGACCCAGTGCCCGGGCTCCCGCTCAGCTGCAGGACTGGCCGCTTTTCCCATTTGTACCCCAGTGCAGGTAGATGCTTAAGATTCATCAAGCTTTTGAGGGGTCTCTGCCCTTCGAGAGATGTGCCAGTTTGGGGCCTGGGTGCTCTCCCCAGACACAGTCACCCCCAAGGCCCAGGCACGCTCCTCCGACCCTGGCCTTGTGCAGATTCAGCCAGCTGGACCCAAGCTTGGTGACTGGCTGAGGGTTTGAGTGAGTCACAGGCTGGCTCGGAGCTGGATCCCGCAGTGGGCACAGGCCCAGACCTTGGGACCTGAGGGACCTTGGGCTGAGGGGTAGGTCAGGAGTGGCTGTGGGGGAGGGAACTAAAGGTTTCTAGTGGAAACCAAGGCAGGCTTCTTGGAAGAGGAGGCATTTCTGAGCTGTTTCTTGAATGACTGTTAGGGTCTGAGGGGACAGGGAGAGGCAAAGGCTTCATTCATTCATTCATTCACTTAACAGATACTGTGAGTGAGGGCACTGGGAATAGAGCAGTGACTGCAGCCATCCCTCTCCCCCATCTCACAGTGCAGGGGGGCTGCAGAGGTGAGGGGCAGGGGACTCAGGAACAGGACATGGCCCGGTCTGGGGCACCAGTGAGGCTCTGTGGGGACATTTGCAGGTGATACATGCAGGCTCAGAGGCCTGGGGGGGTGGAGGGAGGCTGCGGCAGGCGGGGCCCAGGGCGAGAGGCCAGGACACAGCCACAGCTTGGAGGCTTCAGCGTGGGCCGGCAGGGCAGGGCCTGGCTCCGGAAGCTGATCCCAGCAGCAAAGGACAGCAGAGGAGATGTGAGCCTGGGGGGGCGTCCGGAGACCCTTCGTGTGAGCATCCCCAGGAGGGGCTGGAGAGACAGGGCAGTGGGGATGGTGCTTGCCTCGCACATGGCAACCCGGGTTCGATCACCAGCACCCCATAGGGTCTCCCGAGCGCCACCAGGAGTGATCCTGGAGCACAGAGCCAGGAGTAAGTGAGCCCTGAGCACCATCGGGTATCGTCCAAAGACAAAACAAAAGAGGAATAAAGGGTGGACACGCCTTGAACCCTTTCCCCAGCCTCTTTTCCCTGAGCATACACCCACTTCTCGGATGGTGACACTGAGGCCCAGGGAGAGAAAGGGAGAGGCTGGGGGGTGGGGGGTGACAGTATGGAGAGGAGGGTGCTCGCCTTGCATGAGCCTAAGCCCCAGCCTCACATAGGGGTCCCTCTGAGCACCACCAAGAGTGATCCCCGAGCACAGAGCCAGGAGTAAGCGCCGAGCACGACTGGGTGTGGCCCCACCCAGGAAAAATGGGGAAGGGGACTCCAAACCCCCTTGGAGGCAGACTGGGGGTGGCTGGGGGGGCAGCCCGAGCCCCCAGAGACAGGGGACTGTGGGCGCCTCTCTCCTCCCAGAGTACGCGGCCATCAACTCCATGCTGGACCAGATCAACTCGTGCCTGGACCACCTGGAGGAGAAGAACGACCACCTGCACGCGCGCCTGCAGGAGCTGCTGGAGTCCAACCGGCAGGCGCGCCTGGAGTTCCAGCAGCAGCTCAGCGAGAGCCCGGGGGAAGCGCGCTCCTAGGCCCAGCAAGGGCCGCCGCGGCCCACCCACCAGTTAGTTCCCCGCCTGCCTGTCTCTGGGGCGCAGCCCACTCTGCCCGGGCCTGAGTGCCCGCATTAAACAGATCTCTGACATCACCACCCTCTTTCTTGACCCTCTGTACCCCCAGGGGCTGGGGGTGGGGGCAGGAGGGGCCTGGGGGGTGCGGGGCTTCTTGGCCTTCTTGTGCCCTTTCAAACGCAGAATGGGTGGCTGAGGCAGTGTCCTCCTCACAGGTTTTGCTCCCAGCCGAGATGGCACCGTCCGCTGTGTGACCCTCCCTAATGCACTCGGCCTCTCTGGGTGCACCGAACATGGCTGTGAGCCTGGGCCACCACTGCCTTCCCATCTCAGCCTTGCTTTCCCCAACTCATCAACAGGGCTGACCTGTGTACCTCTAAGACAGAGGAAGTGGGAGCTGATATGATAGAAGCACGCTGGCCTTCCACACGGTCAACCCAGATCTGACCCCCCAGTACCACTTCCGGTCCCCCACCAGGAGCAATCCTTGAGCGCAGAACCAGGAATAACACTCTGAGCACAGAACCAGGAGTAAGACTCTGAGCACTGCCAGGTGTGCCTCCCCCCAAAAAAAAATGAAATAGGGAAGTTGGAGGCACTGGAGCAGTGGTGAGGAAAGCAGGCACTGGTGGAGGCTAATGCTGGAGTTAGTTACGCATGAAACTCAGTCACGCAGTGTCAAAAACCGGAAATAAAATTGAACATAAAAAAGAAATGGAGGGGCCGAAGCGATAGTACAGCGGGTAAGGTGTTTGCCTTGCATGCAGTTGTCCTGGGTTGATTCCTGGCACCCCAAGCTTGCCAGGACTAACCCCTAAGTACTGCCAGAAACTTTTTTGGGGCCACAAACCAAAAATAATAAATAAATTGGGGGTCTAGGAGCTGAAGACAACACAGCAGGATAAGACACTTGTCTTGCATGCAGCTGACCCTGGTTTGATCCCTGGCCCTGCGTGAGGTCCCCGAGCACCACCAGGGGCCACTCCTGAGCAGAGCCGGATGCGGCCCAAGCATTTCCCCCTCTGATAAGTAAACAAAATGGGATAGCCAGAGTATGGTCCAGCCAGCAGGGCACTTGCCTTGCATGTGGCATCCCATCCCTGCCACGAGTAATTCCTGAGTATGGAGCCAGGAGTAACCCCTGAGCATTGCCTGGTGTGACCCAAAAATAATAAAAAGAGAAATAACATGGGGAAGCAGCAGAGCTTTGTGAAGGGCAGCCCGGCCTCCCGCAGAGGAGCCGTCTCAGAGCACCCACCAGTGAGTCAGAGCCGCATGCCCGTGAGCAAGTGTAGCCCCTCCCCCTCCCCTCAGAGCTGGTCACTGGCCTCCGGGGTCTCCGGCCTTTGCAGGGCTCCTTCTTCCTGTCACCTGGGGTGATGAGATGCAGCTGCTGGTCTGACGCAGCAGCCTGGGCCAACTGTGTCGGCAGTTCACTGCATCGGCCACCCAGGCAGTCTCAGGGGCCTGCAACGCTGCACGGGAGATACCGGGAGGTGGGGGGGGCCCACACTGGTTTGGACCTGATCTGACCCAGCACAGGCCTTGCCTAGGGCCTTAGCCTCGAGCTATGTCCCTGCAGATCTGTCTTGAAGGCACTTCCCCAGCCTGACTCAACCCGGGGAAACTGCAAGGGGAGGCACCCCCTGTCCTGGGAACTGTGCACCCTGGAGAGTCGGGCTTCGGGGTGCCCCTTTCTTGTCTGCCCCGACAGACGTGTGGCTGGAGCACAGTGCATATACTGCTTTATTGGATTTTTGAGTGAAAACAAGGGTCCAAATGTCTACGCGGCGCGCAGGATGGAGGCGCACAGGGCCAGTCCCAGACTGGCGGACACGACACGGGGCCCGCTCAGGTTTTGAGGCGGTTGGAGCGCCTGGGTACGAGGGGCTGGCATGGTGGCGCTGTCATCTTGCTGTGGGCTTTGGCCTGGTCCTGGCTGCTGGGCTGGGTCGGGGAGCGGCCACCGGCGGTGAAGAGGGCGGTCAGAGCGTTCCGAGCATTGATGGCACAGCGGCGGCTCACAGGCCTGGCAGAGGCCGGCTTGGGCTTCTTGGCCTTCCTGTATTTCTGGACACAGAGTGGGCAGGTCGGACAGCGTGTCCTCCCGCCGTGGTGCTCCAGGGCAGAGCCCAGTACAAGACGTGCCCCCTGGCACTTCCCAGAACCACAGCAGAAAGACCCCAGCCCAACCCCATGCCACCCTGATGATCCCAGCCCTGTTTTCTTTCCATTTTTGGGCCACACCAGGCGATGCTCAGAGGTTACTCCTGGCCCTGTGCTCAGGGCTCGCTCCTGGCCTGAGGGACCCTATGGGGCGGTGGGGAACGAACTCAGGTCCAAGACAAATGCCCCACCCCCATCCCATCGCCCCACTGTCCCTGAGGAGTCCCTTTGTGGGCAGACCTCCCTTCAGGGGTGTTGCCCGGAGGGTGGAGGCCGCCCCAGACCCTCGTCCCCCACCCCCCACCCCCGGCTCACCTGCAGATTCTCAAAGTGGGCCAAGGACTTGCAGTGACTGAGCTGCGCCCCCTCGTTCCCCGGATAGAATTTATGGCAGACGCGACACACGTGGCCCGTGGTGGGCACCAAGAAATTCACCCCTGTGAACACACGGTGTGACCTTGTCCCCCTCGCCAGCCAGAAACCCCAGCCTCCCAAGGGCCCGGGTGACCCCATCGTCCAGGGAGCGGCTGCCCCCGCCAGGAGGACCAGGAAGTGGGTCTTTGGCCCCGCCCCTCCTGCCTGTCAATTATGGGGTTAGGGGCACCTACCATAGGCCTTGTCGGGGCTGTAGGTCTCTGACTCTTTTGGTTCCGGCGTGGGCATGTCGTGGGTCTTCATCTGGAAGATGCAGAAGTGCGGGCCTCAGTCCTGGCCCGCCCCGCCAGCCTCCTTCCGAAGCTGGGGTGTGCGGGACACCTGCTCCCTCCCTTATTTGGTTTCCAGGAGGTGGTGGGTGGCACCCCATAACCCGGTCCCGTCCCTGGGCCATACTTTCTAGGCTCAGCTCACTCAGTTTCATCCTCCAAGAAGCCCTCCTGCTCCCTGGCAGCCTGATCCACACCAGCCATGCCCAATACTCAGATTGTGGCGAATCCTCTTCCGGCCCCTCTGTGGTTTGCCCATCTTAATGATGAGCGGAAACTGAAGCCTGGTCACATGGACTCACTGACTAGCACAACTCGGCTGGGTTATGGGGAGCCAGGCCGGAGCCCAGGGGCTCCAGTCCCTGTTCCCTCCTTAGCCGTGTGACTCTCGCCAGCTCCGAGTTCTTGACAGGACATCATTGCCCTCCGGTCCCCTGCAACAGGAGGGGGTGAGGTCCTGGCGCTGAGCACAGCACAGGGGAGATGTGGGGTGGGCCATCACCTTGGTGGGGGTTTCAGAAGAAGCCCCTTTCCAGACTGCTGAGAAACGGTGCTGTCTCTCCATGGGCTGCGGGGGTCCCCCAACCCTCCACCCTTATTGCTCTGGGCCTCACTGCTCGCAGCTCTGTGGGGTCTGGGGTCAGGCATTGACCCCCAGGTATGCCTTGTGCCCTGCCCCAAAGGGGTGTTCTGGGCTTATTCTCGGCTATACTCAGGGATCACTCCTGGAGGGCTTGGGGGGCCCTATGGGGGTCCTGGTGATCAAACCTGGGTCTACTCTATGTACCCACCCACTGTCCTCTTGATCGGCTCCCCTGAAAATATTCAACAGAGAAGCAGCCACTTGTCCACGGGGCAAAGAGGGGGTACCAGCATGACTGGCACCCAGGTGGTTCTGCCAGGAAAGTGGTGAACATGTGGTGCATACCCAGTGGGGGCATCACCACACCACTCTGGGCCTTTACAAAGACTCTCCCCGCACCCAGCGCAGGGAACGCGATTCCTGGCACATCGCGATTCCTGCCAGCCTGCAGACCCTTATGCATTTCTTTTCCCCTTTCTGGGGGGATTTAGGCCATACCTCGTGTTCACGGGTCACCCCTAGCTGGGTTCAGGGGGACCCTGTGAGGTGTCAGAGGTCAAATCAGAGCTGGTTCTGTGCCGGGTCAGTGACCTACCCGCTGTACTATGGCTACTGCCTCGGCCCCTACACATTTCAACTGTGCCTGCCCCAGGAGGCGGGGCTGCGGGTTCCGTGACCTTAGGCTGATCTATAGACCCACCAATTACAGTGCGTGTGGCCTGAGGAGGTTCGGTGGCCTTAGACTGATCTGTAAACCCACCAATTACAGTGCACGTGGCCGAGGAGGCGGGGCTGCGGGTTCTGTGGCCTTAGACTGATCTTATACCCACCAACTGCAAGGGGGAAACACTGCCTGGAGTCCGGCCTGCCGCCAACTCCTCCCCATCCCAGCTCCCATCAGCACCTGCTTGCAGAGTTCCTCCTCCACCTCTATGTCTTCTTCCTCCTCTTCCTCCTCCTCCTCCTCCTCCTCTTCATCACCCTCAAAGCAGCCCACGGCGTCCACGGTGATGAAGTGCTCCTCGTCCTGGCCAGCTGTCTCCTGGAGCGTATTCAGCTTCCCAAGAGCATGGGCGAGGGCTCAGGTCAGTGCTCACTGGCGGTTGGGGGGGTGGGCGGGGGACACCCTCTGCCCACCCCAACCCAAAGCACCTCCTGATCCGCCATGAGCTCAGCCTGGGGTGAACCTCCACTTTGTGCTGTGTGCCCTTGGCCTTGCAAGGCACTGTACCTCTCTGGGCCCGTGTCCATATGGGAGCTGAGGGTTACCTCCTTGGCCTTGTCCTTGTGTCCCTGGGACTTCACGTGTTCCACAAACTTGCGGGGGGTCTTAAAGTAGCGGTTGCAAGCCGTGCAGAAAGGTCTCAGGGACTGTTTTGCAATCTGGGGGCCGGCGGGGGGAGGGGTAGGCAGAGAGATCTGATGGGCAAGTGTCCTTGCCGCCCACGACACCCCCCCACAAACACACATCTGGGATCAGCCGCCAGGGCCCCCTGTGGGGTGATAGCAACACGGACAACTGCCTGTTCAGGGCAGCCACTGAAGGGACCCCCAGGAGTCCCTCTGCTGGTGAAGGGGTCCCCTGCCCTCGCTGCTCAGACAGGGAACCCAGAACGGGAAGCCACGCTTGGGCATTGGGGCCCGCAGTGCCCACACACACGCCTGCAGACGGCAGGGGCGGGGCGGGACGGGGCAGCGGGCGCCTCTACCTTGTGCTCCGGGGTCCGGCGGTGCTGGATCAGGTCCCCCGTGTAGTACAGCTGGCAGGTGTGGCACCAGCGCTGGGGCAGGGGCCCTCTGAGTGAGGAGGGGTTAGGGTTAGGGCGGGGCATGTCCCAGCTAAGAGTCCCGGCGAGCACGCTGCCCCCAACTCACTCCTGCTCTCTCTCCAAGACGTCCCGGGGCACCGGCAGGAGGGACAGGAGGCAGGCCTGGCTCCTGTGCCGGACCTCCCCGAGCCGCTGCTGGTGCTCGGCCCCCGCCATGTGCTCCTGGAACTCCTGCAGGGGGAGCGAGGGCCAGGCGTGAGGAAGGGCGCCGGCCTCCACCTCACCCTCAGCCCTGCCTCCCTCCGCCCCTCAGTCACGGACAGGCTGGCCAGAACCAGGTGGTAAACTGAGGCAGCGAGTCCACACGCCGCAGCCTTATACTCCTTATACTCAGCTCCAGCTAAGTGCCAGGTCCCCGGGACTCTGCTCAGGCTTCTGGGACGTGGTGACCACGGATGTTACCGTGGCAGCAGAATGCAGCCCGGGCCCCGCTGCCCCGCGGGCTTGGATGTCGGACACGGCAGCTCAGTTCCCGAGCATGCGTTTGCGCACACGCAGCCTGGGCTGGGATTTTTCTCGGTGACCTCCACCACCGGCCACCGCCCAGCCTGCGCTCTCCTGCCTCTCTCCAGACCCCTGCACCTCATCCCTCCCTCGCCTGGCCTGGGGGTCCTTGGCAGTACCTGCTGGCTGCCACAGTTGGCTTTGCAGATGCAGCAGAAGAAGTGCAGGGCCTGTGTCGGGGACTGGCCGGCCGTGGTGGGGCTGGTAGAAGTTGAGTCACCCGGACGCAGCACCGGAGTGACAGGTGTGGTGCTGAAAGCCCGGCTATTGCTGCTCTGCTGGATGGTGACCTTCAGGGAGCCCCCGGCACCCCACATCTGCACCGGGACCAAGAGGAGGGCTAGCACCGGCTGGGCACTGCTAGTGAGTGACCCAGCCATCATGATTCGCCAATGGTCCACTTTACAGATGGGGAAATTGAGGCTTCAGGCTGCTGGGGGTCACTCCACTTCACAAATCCAGCTAGGACATTCTGGAGCCCGCACTCTCTCCCCCCCCCCCCCCGCCCGTGTGACAGACACTCAGATGCCTCGGCTGCCCCATAGACTCCACAGTCAAGCACAGCCCCAGTTTTCTATCAGTCAGGTGCTCTCCCCCCAGAAGTGATGCCCGTGAGTGTAATTTGGGGGCCACTCTCAGCGGTGCTCAGGGATCATTCCAGGAAGAGCTCAGGAGACCCTATGCAATGCCTGGGATCGAACTCAGCTTGGTCACGTGCAGGGCGACTGACTGCCTTGACCCCTCTCCTGTCTCTTTGGCTCGGGGCACTAATTCTGGATACATCCAGTGTGAGGATCGCCTGTCACCGAAAGTCCATCCAGGTCTTCCAAGGGAAGGACATGTAAAAGCAAGTGCGGTCACTCATGTTGGGAGGCTACACCCTATGGTGCTGGGGACCTTTCCGGGCCAGGGATCAAAGCCGGGGCTCCTGACAACAAAACTTCTGATCCATCTCGCTGGCCCAGGAGCGTGAGAGTTTGATGAACCCTAGCAAGCCCTATTGGCTTTGTTCATGGTGCCCGCCGAGGGCTGCAGGCATGGCCTCAGTTGGGGAGCACTGGGGTGGTGGGGAGGACGGGGGTGCTAAGGTGGGCTGGATGCAAAGAGGCTGTCCCTTGGGGCTGGAGCGATAGCACAGTGGGGAGGACACTTGCCTTACATGTGCCTGCCTCGGGTTTGATTCCCTGCACCCGCATATGGTCCCTCAGGCCCTGCCAGGAGATTCCTGAGCACAGAACCAGGAGTAAGTTCTGAGCACCGCTAGGTGTGCCCCCCCCCAACCCAAACCAGAAAACACCCCAAACCACAAAGAGGCCATCCTGCTGCTGGCTCCTGGCCCCTTTGCTGGGCGGGGCTGTGGCTCGGCAGTAGAGCCTGGACCTGGCCCACAGGAGCCCGGGGTTCAGCTGCCGTCTGTGGGCCAAGCTCTCACCCACCCCTAGCATCTCTCTGGATCTCCTCTCGCCTTCTCTCTCTCCGGGCAGCTCCTGCGGGGTCTCCTCTGTGCTGAGCTGGGGACCTGCTGGCTCCTCTGGGCCTGAAATGACAGCCATGCTGCTCACTGGACCCAGATGACCGGGCCGAGGACCACCGCTCTGTCCCCAGCCAAGACCCTGAAGCTCTGGCAGGGACGGTCCTGCAGCCCAGAATGAGGGTGTCCACGTCCCAGCAAACGCACCTTCTGCTGCTCCTTCGGGCCGGGGTGGCCGGTTGGGCACCGCGTAGGGACCCGGCGCTGGAGCGCCCTCTGCTGCTGGCACCTGGGTCTGCTCCCGCGGCTGCTCTGCGGGCGGCGCGCTACTCTGGCCCTGAGGACACGGCTGGGTCTGCGCCAGCGTCGGTGCCAGCGCCTGCATCTGCCCAGGGGGTTGAGGGTGCGCCTCTGGCTCCGCCTCCTCCTGCCGCCGCCGCGCCTGCTGTGGTACCAGGGCGCGCTCTGGAGAGGTCTGCGTGTGCGCCTGCCGGGCCTCTGAGGGCAGCACCTGCGCGTGGATCTGCAGGGCCCGGGGCTGGAAGCGAGGCAGCACTCGGGCTTCCGGCGGCTCGGGGAGCAGCTCGGGCGTCTGTGTTTGCTTCGGCACCGCCATCCGGGCCTGGGGCTGCACCTTTGCCCTCAGCTGCCCTGGGGGCCCCTTCTCCGTGGGCTCCTTGGAGCTAGGAAGGACCAGAAAGATCAAATTGTGGCTGGGGCGGGAGCTTCAGCAGCCGGTGTGCAGGCTTTTCATGCCGGAGACCTGGGTTTGCTGCCCGGGACCGCCTGGCTCCTCCCAGCACTCCCAGGAGTGAGCCCCGAGCGCTGACAGGTGTGACCCAGAACCCAGAAAGAAAGATCAAATCTGCGGCTTCCGGGTGACTCCCCAGAGACCAAATCCAGGCTCCAGGCCTGGCACCTCCATGCTGGGACCTGCTGTGTCTCTCTCTGAGGCCTGGGTTTGCCTGAATAAAGACTACTTGTGGTGAGCGACTTGGCTCTGCTCAGGGCTGACTCCCAGCTCTGTGCTCAGCAATCACTCCTGGCAGGCCTCCGGGAGTGCCTGGGATTGAACTGGGGTCAGCTGCATGCAAGGCCAGTGCCACATACTGTATACTATCTCTCTGGCCCCTGGACAAAATAAATAGGAAAGACACTTGGGCCACTTCCCATAAGTTGCTAATGTGGCTCCCAGGCCCTGCGGACTGCTAGCCTCTGCTCGGGTGCCCCAGTCATCTGCACCCCACGAGCCTGGCCCCCCACAGGGCCCTTGTGATGGCGTAGACCCAGGCTCAGAGTGGAGGGGGGTTGCCTGGGGAAGGTGCATGAGTGAGCTGGCCAGTCCTGGCAGCCTCCAAGACCCTGAGCATGCCACAACGCCCTAGAGGCCCTATCCCTCACCCAGCCTACACACACACACACACACACACACACACACACACACACACGCATGTACACACATGCACAAACGCACACATATGTGCTCACACATATGCAGACATGTGTTCACACACAAGGACACTCTCACGCACACACAATAACACACGTGCACAAACGCACACTGCCTCTGCAGCAATAAGGCCCAGGTCACCAGCCCCGCAGACTGTCTCCGTTACCTCTTGGCCCTCTTGGCTGGGGGCTCGACGGGTTCCCCCTCCAGTGATTCGGGCTCAGCGGCGGGCAGGTCTTTCTCACGGGCGATGGCGTCTGGGCAAGGCGGGGAGTCTTGGTCTGCAGCAGAGGGCAGGCGAGTGGGTGTCAGCGCCCCTCACCGAGATGCCTGCCCCCATCCAGGCCCACCACAGCCCCCCATAAAGGGCCTCACCTGGTGCCTCTGGTGAGGACTCCCCGCCTTCCTCAGACCCGAGGGGTCCTTCCACGGGCATCGTCTGGGAAGAAGAATCCTGCTTCCTTTCAGAAGCTGCACGCATCCCCATCAGAATCCCCAGGGTGGGGGCTGCCTCTGGTCCCAGAGCTGGTGTCGCCTTGGGGCTGCCATGAGCTAACCCTTTGCCTCCTCTGGGGGCCTTGACTAAGGGTTCCATTACTGCTCTATTTTTTTCTTTAGTTGGCGGGGTGGGGGGGGGCAGGGGGAGGGCGCATGCCCAATGTTGCTCACAGGTTACTCCTGGCTCTGCGCTCAGGGATCACTCCTGGTGGGGTTTGGGACCATATGGGGCATCAGGGATCGAACCCTCCCCACTTTACTATCGCTGCCAACTGCCTGACTGTTCGGTTCGCCCAGCTCTGAGAGACACGGGCCCTCTCCTGCCCCCAACTTCTCACTCCTTTCTCCACACAGCAGCATCTCTCTTCATCTTCAGCACAAAATCCTCCTGAGGCTTCTCACATTCCTAGGGCACTTCTTCCTGTGCCCCCAAGTCCCTCCCCACCCTGCCATCCTGCATCTCCGGGTCTCTCGTCCCCATGCCATCCCTCTGGCCTCAGCAATTCCTGCTCACCGACCCTGACCTTCTCTCTGGCCCCACCCTGGAAGATGCCTCCTACAGCAAGCCCTCCTGATTACAGGCCTGGTCTGGACCTCGAGGTCAGAGGCCCAGACCTCTCACCGGCAGAAAGGCCTGACCTCCAGGTGTGGGCTGGCTCTTCTGGTCCATGTCAGGGAGACCCTCCAGTGGGTTTCAAGAACTCACACACAGGGTGATGGTACAGTGGGGAGGGCTTTTTGCCTTGCATACGTCCAACCCATATTCAATCCCCAGCACCACAAATGAGCCCCTCCAGGTGTGATCCCTGAGTGCAGAGTCAGGATAAACCCAAAAATCTAGACGTAGATTTCACTTCTGCAGGTAAGGTTGTTCCTCGATTTGCTCGAGGGGGCCCAGTAACATCTCCATTGGAGACTTTGTTGTTACTGTGTTTGGCATATGAATACTTCACGGGGAGCTTGCCAGGCTCTGCAGTGCTGGCGAGATACTCTCGGTAGCTTGCCGGGCTCTCCGAGAGGGGCAGAGGAATCGAACTCGGGTCGGCCATGTGAACTGCGTGCAAGGCAAACGCCCTACCTCTGAAGCCCAAAAACCAAAACAATAATATAAATAAGGGGTGTGGAGGGGCGGGGCAGGTGCAGATAAGAGGAGGAAGAAGACCTTTCACTTTGTTACTTTTTCTGACTTTTCCTGACAGCTGTGTTTGCAACCAGTGATTTAGCATGTTTCCAAGTATCTGGGTAGATACAATGTTTCCTTTCTAGAGGAAAGGGAAAGGCAGCTCTTCAGATCAGTTACAGTAGCCACTGGAGGGGATGTAGGTGCTAATGGCTCAGGGCTGGGTGTGGAAGGAGCCCCTGATCCATGTTCTATCATGACACACTTGATTTCACTTTAGTTTTGTTTTCTAGGACCACACCTGGCAGTGCTACGGGCTTACTCCTGGCTCTGCACTCAGGGGTCCCTCCTGGGGTGCTCGGCGGACCATATGGGGTATTGCTTCTGGGGTCCCCAAGTGGGCTGCTGCAGATGGGTTGTGTGCAAAGCAGAGCGCTCCCCACCCCCTCTCTCGAACCCTGGCCCCTTGGTTTCAACTACACTGACTAGACATGGAAATGACTGGCTTTTACTGTGTCGGGTCAAATTAAAATACACTTGTGAAATTCCTTTTACCTGTTGCGGTTCACTTGGCGACTGTGGTCACTAGACCGATAGAAATGACAGGCGTGAGGGGCTGGAGTGATAGCACAGCAGGGAGGGCATTTGCCTTGCACACAGCCCACCTGGTTCCATTCCCAGCATCCCATAGGTCCCCCAAGCACCGCCAGGAGTAATACCTGAGTGCATGAACCAGGAGTAACCCCTGTGCATCGCTGGGTGTGACCCAAAATGCAAAATAAATAATTAAAAAATAATAATAAAATAAAATAATAAAAAAGAAATGACAGGCATGACCTGCACGATTGACGTGACAGTAACCACATCAGGGACGCAGGAGTAGCTGGAGTTTGGGGGGGACATGAGACACCACACCCAACCATCCCCCCTCCATGTAAGGAAACTGAGGCACAAAGAGGGGCTGACTTGCCTGTGTCCGGGAAGGAGGTTTGGTGAGCAGGTAAGGCCATCCCTCTCCCTGCCCCCCATCCCCCAATCACCTTCCGAGCGGGGTTTGTGGTGGAATTGGGGGGTCGTGCTTGCTTCTGATGGCTCCTGCTAGGAAGCTGGACCTGTGAAGGGGCGATGGGCACCCCCACAGGAGGGGGCCCCAGCAGGGACTGCCGGGTGGCCTGGGGGAAGAACTGCTGTAGGTTTGGGGTAGCCAGCTGGGGTGGCGTGAGGCTGGGGGGCGGCATGCTCGGGGTTCCCAGGCTGTAGCTGCGGACATTACCTGCAGGCATGGGGAGGGAGAAGATGGAAGGAACGTGAGCGGCAGGAGAGGAGGGGTTGGCTAGGTGCTGCCCCCCACCCCCAGGCATCACAGGACCAACTTCCATCAGCCTTGGAGGGAGAAGGACTCCTCCCAACCCCCATTCCAGGCTGTGGGGGGGAGAGGGGTTAGAACACCCCAGGCATACTTTAGGGGATGTGAAGATCCCAGCTTGGAACCCACCAGAACCAGCAGGACAAACGACTCCCCTACGCTCTGCCCCTCTAGCCAGAATCCAGAAAGTTCTTGGGGCCCCTCTGCTAAGTGAGCCGGGACGGGGTTCGGTCCCAGTGCCAGCATGTGTGTGCAAGTACGTGTGTGTACATGTGGGGGGTGGGGGAATCATCGTTATTGATGACAAAAGAGATGCAATATGACTTTGGGGGGGTCATGCTGACCATGCTCAGGGGCTCTTCCCAGCTCTTTGTTTCAAAGTGACCCTGGGTGGGGCTTGGGGGACCCTAAGTAGTGCCAGGGATTAAACCAGACAGTTGCACGCAAGCCAAGCACCTTAACCCCTATACTATCAGGGTTTTTTGTTGTTGTTGTTGTTTTGTTTCTTTTTGGATGACACCTGGCGATGCTCAGGGCTTACTCCTGGTTCTGCACTCAGGAATTATACCTGGCTCAGGGGAACCATATGGGATGTTGGGATCGAACCCAGGTGGGCCTTTTGCAAGGCAAACGTCCTCCTGTGGGGCTCCAGGCCCCTTGAACCATCTTTCACAAGTGAGATCATGTGGGGATGTAGCTCAAACGTGTTATGTCTGGCGGGGGGGGCTCTTGTCTACCCAGGGGCCTCTTTGTACCCATCTCTTTCCAAGCTTTCACCAAATCCCACCTTTCGTCTTCCCCCGTTTCCCAGCCAGTCTGATTCCTGTCTTTCCCCACTCCCAGCAACCCCTTTCAAAGCCACCTCATTCCAGGCCTGAATTTCAGCCTCAGTCTCCAGGGCCCGAGCAGGCAGGTCCCCGCCTAGGCTGGGAGACAGGCCTGCAGGCTGGGGAAACCTGACTGGCTGGGGGAGTGACATTACATCCAGACACTCCAGGAAGCTCCATGGCCTTGAGCCAATCAGCTCCCCGAGTTTGGCCTCAGTCCCCTCCCCTGTGAAATGGGCACAAGGCTGTTTGCCTCTCAAGGCTTCACGGGAGACATGGAGGTCCATGGTGAGCCTGGTTTATATAAGAGTTCGATGGCCCTGGGGCTGGAGAGATAGCACAGAAGGTAGGGCATTTGCCTTGCACGCGGCCGACCTGGGTTCGATTCCCAGCATCCCATATGGTTCCCTGAGCACTGCCAGGAGTAACTCCTGAGTGCAGAGCCAGGAGTAATCCCTGTGCATCGCCAGGTGTGACCCAAAAAAGCAAAAAAAAAGAGTTTAATGGCCCTTCACTTAAAAGAAATACACATGGTTGCATAGAGCATGCCTCAAGCAGCTCGAAAAAATAGTCAAAAAAAGATAGAACACTCTAGAAGTGAAATGGATCATCCCAGGGGACGGACACACACACACACACACACACACATACACACACACACACAATGTTCACATGCACCAGCATGCCAAGAAACAGAAATGAGGACATGAATAATTAAGCCTGTTTTTGCCAACAAAATTGGTAGCAGACAACATGTACATAGATGGAAATACAAGAAGCAAATACTACCCAATGTTGCCGTGGGCACGGTGAGGCTGGCGCTGTCGTACATGGCTGGCGGCATTGCAAACTGGTCCAGTCCTTTGGGAAAGCAATTTGTGACACTTATTAAGAGCAGCAGACATCCATCCCACAACCCACTTGCTCCCCATGTGGGAATCAGTCCTTGGAAAATCATCTCAAAACAACACAGCGCCAGAGTGATAGTACAGTGGGGAGGGCACTTGCCTTGCACACAGGCTCAAACCCCGACACCTCATATGGTATCCCAGAGCCCTGCTAGGAGTGATCCCTGAGCACAGAGCTAGGAGTAAGTCCTGAGCACTGCTGGTTGTAACTCCAAAACCAAATACCACCTCCCCTCAAAAAAAAAAAAATAATAATGGGGCTGGAGCAATAGCACAGCAGGTAGGGCATTTGCCTTGCACGCAGCCAACGTGGCCGACACAGGTTCGATTCCCAGCATCCCATATGGTCCCCCGAGCACCGCCAGGAGAAATTCCTGAGTGCATGAGCCAGGAGTAACCCCTGAGCATCGCCGGGTGTGACCCAAAAGGCAATAAATAAATAAATAAATAAATAAATAAATAAGGGGCTGCAGTGATAGCATAGCGGGTAGGGCATTTGCCTTGCATGTGGCCGACCCAGGTTCGATTCCCAGCATCCCATATGGTCCCCCAAGCACCGTCAGGGGTAATTCCTGAGTGGAGAGCCAGGAGTAAGCCCTGTGCATCGCTGGGTGTGACCCAAGAAGCAAAAATAAATAAATAAATAAATAAAATAAAAATAAAAAGCAGCATTACAAAACAGCAGGAAGAGAAAGTTGAGGCAAAGACAGGCAAAGACACAGCCCTTCCACAGGATATTAAACCGCTTTTTTCCCTTGACTTTGGGCCAACCCACTGGTGTTGGGTGGGGGGGTAGGGGAACACGACCCTAGCAGTGCTCTGGCTCTGGGGAATGTGCAGTATTAAGGTCAAACGTGGGCCCCTACTCATAAAGCACATGTTCAGCCCTTGGAGCATCTCTCCAGCAGGGTGAGGGGAGGGGGTCGTGGGGGAGAATTAGGCCATGTTTGGTGGTGCTCAGGGGCTACTCCTGGCTCTGTGCTCAGGAGTGAACCCTAACTGTGCTCAGTGTGGTGGGGAGATCAAACCCGGGTGGGGTACCAACCACGCAAGCACTTACCTCCTATTCCATCTCTCCGGCATCAAGAGCTTTTTCTTGGTGGGGGCTACGGGTGTTGGGCCACGGACAACGGTGCTCAGGAGCCTTTCCTGGCTCTGTGCTCAGGGATCACTACTAGCAGTGCTCAGGGGACCATATCTGCCTTGAATGTCTCTGTCTAGAATGTCTCTCCAACCCCAGCAGCTTTTCTTGTTTATTTTTAGGTCACATCCAGTGATGTTCAGAACTTACTCCTGGCTCTACTTGGGAATTGCTTCTGGTGGTACCCAGGGGATCATCTGTGGTGCCAGGGATTGAACCTGGGTCGGTCACGGGCAAGGCAAGTGTCCTGCCCACAATACTAACTCTCTACCCCCTAACTTTTTTTTTTTTTTTTTGCTTTTTGGATCACACTTGGCGATGCACAGGGGTTACTCCTGGATCTGTGCTCAGGAATGACTCCTGGGGTACTCGGGGGACCATATGGGATGCTGGGAATCAAACCCGGGTCGGTTGCATGCAAGGCAAACGCCCTACCCACTGTGCTATCTCTCCAGCCCCCTCCACCCCCTAACTTTTATTTATTTTTATTTATTTATGTGCTCAGGGCTTATCCCTGGTTTTGTGCTCAGGGATCACTCCTGGGGGACTTGGGTGACCATACAGGGTGCAGGAGATTGAACCTGTGTCAGCTCTGTGTAAGGCAAGCACGTTACCTATTATAACTATCTTTCCAATCCCCAATGCTTTAAAAAATAACCTTTCACTGACTATCAAGTCACATGGTGAACTATCAGGCCACTTGATTTACTGAAAAATAAACAAGATACAGACTTTCACGAATGTCGGAAATCACACTCATAAACTAAGCTTCAAGTCTGTGCCAAGAAAAACAGGGGGATGAGCTGGAGGTTTTAGAGGAGGCGCTAAATCTTTGACAGGTGTTTTTTTTTTTTTTTTAATTTCCTGGCTGGAGTGATGGCACAGTGGGTAGGGCGTTTGCCTTGCATGCAGTCGACCCGGCCAACTCGAGTTTGAATCCTCTGTCCCTCTCAAGAGAGGTCGGCAAGCTACCAAGAGTATCTCACCCGCACCTCAAAACCTGGCAAGCTACCCATGATGTATTCGATATGCCAAACACAGTAACAACAAGTCTCACAATGGAGACATTACTGGTGCCCGCTCCAGCAAATTGATGAACTAAGGGAGGACAGTGCTACAGTGTTGACAATGCTTGGTTTTTGAACTACATCTGGCAGTGCTCAGGGCTTCCTCCTAGCTCTGTGCTTTGAAACCACTCCTGGCAGGGCTCAGGGTACCCTATGGGGTGCCGGGGATGGAACCCGGGTACCGTGCAAGTGAGGCAAGCGCCCTGCCCATGGTACCATCTCTCCAGCCGGGTGGGTTTTCCTTCAGGAGGAAGGGACACAGTGATCTGGACTGACTATCCTCTCTGATATTTTTTTTTTTGGAAGTGTGACTTGGGTGAATGAAGACAGGAGAAACCACAAGGGATGCATTGTGGCACCCCTGTAAGGCTGTTTCTCTGTCCCCAGCTCCCTGCGACTTGTGTGTCCACTCCAGGACCAGCCATGCCCGCATAGCAACAATGCTTGGTAGAGCAGACTGTCCACCTTGGGCCATGCGCTGGCTTTGAGTCTGAGGAACAGCTGCGGGGAGTCCCAGATTCTGAACCTCCTTGTAATCACCACCAGCTCACTATGATTCTGGACACAGGGTCTATCTCTATCTCTGGGTCTCAGTTTCTCCATCTGTTTATGGGGACTATGAAAACATCACCCCTTTGGTTTGTCAGCAGAGTCAAGAAATTACTAGTTCAAGGCCCCAGATTGGTTCCCAGCCTAGAGGGAGCTTCCAGAAAGTTATAGCTATCTCGAGGGATCTGCAGAGGTGCTGCCCTCCCACCCTCATCTTTGAACCCCTATATTATGCTTCAGGGGGAAACTGAGTCCAGGAAGGCCTCAAGCACCAGGCCAGCAATACCAAGAGAGCCTGGAGAGCCAGAGCTCCTGGACTGGGTCTCACTCACGTGGCTGGTGCTGTGTGATCCAAGGCTAATAATTTCCCCTCTGATTCTTTCCCACACCCAGCGGAGCTCAGGGCTTATTCCTGGCTCTGTGCTCAGGGATCACTCCTGGAGGGCTTGGAAGAACATACAGGGTGCAGGGATGGAACCCAGGTCAGCAGTGTGCAAGGCAAGTACCCTCCCTGCTGTACCGAAGCTCTGGCCCCACCTTTCTGATTCTTCCCCTGACTGTAAACAAAGGGATGCAGAAGAGGGTGGTGTAAATGCCTCTAGCCCTGTGCCAAGCCACCTCATCTGAGGGCCAGGGAAGGGCACTCAGGGTCAGCGCCATGGCCAAGGGCAAGAAGCCCAAAGCTGTGCTTCCTGGGGCAGGAACCGGAAGCCTGGAGTCTGGCTCTCCTTGTCCATCCCTTAGTTGCTAGGGGCTTCCTCCTGGCTCTGTGCTCAGGAATCACTCCTGACACGCTCAGGGGGCTCTTCTATGGGATGCCGGGGAAATGCACTGGCTCAGACACGTGTGCAAGGCAAACGCCCTTCCTGCTGTACCATGACTGCTGGGGGTTTGGAGAAATCGGTGTCCCCTGGGCACACTGGGCACCGTACCTTGTAACTGTTGCAGAAACAAAGCTCTCTGCATCACAGAGCTGTTGAGGAGGGAGGCTGAGGTCGGGAGAGTCAGGAGCTGCTGCTGAGACACTTGCTGGGGGAGCCCTCTGCGGATTGGATTGCGGGAGGGGGTAAGTCAGAGGGGAGGGGGGCACTCAGACCCTCCCGGCCCCGCCCCTTCCCCAGAAGTAAGCTCAGCCGGCCGGGGTGGGCGTGACCGTACTCACCGACTGAGGGTCACAGGGAGCGGGGCCTGCGGTGGGGGCTGCTGGAACAGCTGCTGGAGCTGCAACAGCTGCTGCTGCTGCTGCAACTGCTGCTGCTGCAACTGCTGCAGCTGCTGCTGCTGCAACTGCTGCTGGCTGAACATAGCTGCTGGGGGGCGGGGAGGCGGGCATCAGAGGTCAGTACTACACTCCCCTTAAGTTCCCTGGCCACCACCCCGCCCGGAAGCCTCAGTCCCTGCCTCTGAGGGGGACACAGCACCCTGTCGTTCCAGGGCCGGTTCCACCACCCGGACCCCCACTTGGTCGTCCGTCTGCCCCGCCCCCAAGCCCCCATCCCGCCAACAGGCCCTCTTCCAGCCTCGCTCTCCTCCGCCGTGGTCAGTGTCCCCCCAAAACCCGGGTCGGCCTGGGCCCACCCCCCACCCCCACCCCGGGTCCGCCTGCCCGCCTGGCCCGGCGTCGACCCCTCCCCTCCATTAACTCCCTACAGCATCAGCAACCCGCGGGTCCCCCTTTCCTCTTGGCCCCCCGGGAACCGACTTCCCGCCCCCCCCGAACCGCACCCCGCGCTCCGCCACCCCCTCGCGCAGACACAACAACGTGACGCCTCCAGCCCGGTCCCCCCCAACCGCCGCACCTGCCGGCGCAGCCCGCAGCCTCCATGCACGTGGGCCCTAAGGTCGGGAGGCGCGTTCCCCGCAGCCCGCAGGCAGCCGCGTCACCCCGCGGGTGGGTCGGGCGGGCGGGCGGGCGCGCGCGCAAGCCGGGAATGCGGGAACCGCGGCTCGGGGGCTGCCGCGCTCGGGCCGGGCCTGCCGGGAGCCGAGGCCCCGCGCGCGCGCGCACACGCGCCGGCCGGGGCAGCGCCCTCTAGAGGCGCGGAGGTCCGGGCGCCGCTCTCCCGCCCCGCCGCCCGCTCACCCGGCGCCCGGGGATCCCGCAGCGCCGAGCCTGGGTCCCGAGGCCTCCGCGTGGGCTCGTGGCGGCTCCGGGCCCCAGACTCGTCGGTCGCCCCGCGGGATCTGTCGTCTGGCGGCGGCATCGCGGGCGACAGGGGCCCCGCGCGGGGGGCCGGGGTGGGAGGGGGCGGGCCGCCGGCTGCTGGACGTCCGGGGGCCGGGAAGCGGCGGGAGGGCGAGCGCCCACGGTGGTCCAGGTGGGCCGGGGGCCGGGCCCGGGGAGCGGGCTGCAGGACTCTCGGCTGCTAGACATGTGGCCCGGGTTCGGCTACGGAGCGGCGGGAAAGGCCGGGTTCGGGATCAAACCGACAGGGATCAAGGGCCTCCGGGGGGGGGGGGGGGGGAAGCACCTGCCTGGCATGGGCAAGGCCCAGAGCTCGAACCCGGGCACGACTCATGCCCCCCATCGTCGCGGCCGGCGGTCCCTAGAGCCGCGGCGGTGGTCTTGATGTGACGGACCCCTAAACCACCCGCCGGCCGGAGCATCCCACCTTCAGGCCCGCACCGGAGTGGCCCCTCTTAAAACAAGCAGAATAAACCCCCGCGCTCCTATCCTGCCCCGGGGGCCCCGTGTCCTTCCGACGACTCCGCCAGCCCACGCAGCGCCCCTCTCCTGGGTCCGCACAGCGGCCCGACTGCGAGCGGCAGCGCACGTTACAGAGGAGCCACCCCGGCGCGGGGCCGGTTTCGGGGCGCAGGGCTGGGCGCAACCGGGACGCTCGGGACGCGCGGAGCCGCGGCCCGGCGCCGCAGTCACGTGACGGCCGCCCGCAGTGGCCGCTGCACCGCCCGCCCCCGCACCGCCCGCGACCCGCACGTCCGCGCCCCCGCGCCGGGTCGGGCACTGCGGGGCCGCGGCCCGGCCCACGTGGCCGCCCCCCGGGCTCCGAGACGCTTTGAGAAAGCTCCGGGGAGGAGACGGATCCCCCGCCCCCCATCCCGTCCCCTCCAGAGCAGGCAGAAGCGGGTTAAAGGCTGCGGATTAGGGTGAGAAGCAATTGCGGGGCAGGACGGGCGGGCTCGAGGCTTCCGATCAGGTCCGAGCACCCCGACCCCGCACCCGACTCTGAGATCTAGTGCTAGGGAACAACCCCGGGTTTGCTGCAGAATCACGATTCATGGGAGAGTCTGTTTTCTTTTCTTTCCATTTTTTTTTTTTGCGTCACACCCAGCAATGCACAGGGGTTACTCCTGGTTTTGCACTCTGGAATTAGTCCTGGCGGTGCTCGGGGGACCCTACGCGATGCTGGGAATCGAACCCTGGTCGGCTGCGTGCAAGGCAAACGCCCTACCCGCTGTACTATCACCCCAGCCCCGGGAGTCTGTTTTCTTGTCCGTCAAATGGGTGCCCCCCTCCTAACGGGCTGTTAACCGTATTACGTAATGCTGAGCATTGGCGCCTGGCATAGAGCCTGCTCAGCATATTGCCAAAGGAAGAAAACTAAAAATAATGCTCGGGTTGGTGAAGGTAAGGGAGCCAAGTGCCGCTGGCGTCCTGCGCCTGCTTCATCTTTCTAGAAAGCAAACTGCACGTTCTCTACTGAGATTCTTGAAGGGTTCAGCCCTTTCTTGAGGCTGTGGGGTAGGAAGCTAGCCTGGAAATATAATCAGAAACGAGACTTAAAAGCCAGCAGGTTGTTCCCAGAGACGTAACCACCATATGGGAAATGATCGACTTTAGGGGAACAGACAGACGGATCATGGACTCGGCTTGTGGAGGACTAGCAGGAAGGGACATTGGTGCTATTGCCATATGACAGCATGGAACTCTGCACACTAGAAACCTGAGTGCATAGTATGTTTTTGCTTGAATGATGTCTGTGTGTATTTCTGCATATATATAGGATGAATCTAGAGACACAGTGGTTCTTAGGAACTTTTCCTTCTTTATCTGTTGATTTGCATAACTTTAAGAGGAGAATGTGAGATTACTTGGGTTATGTCCGGTGACCACATTTGTCAGTATTCTATTCAGGGTTTACTCCTGGTTTGGCTCTCAGGGATCAGTCCTGGTGGGGCTGCAGGGCGTGGGGAGACCATATGGGGTAATGGCCCTCAAACCCAGGTCAGTCACATGTAAAAGGCAAGAAGTGGGGTCTGGAACGATAGTACAGTGGGTAGGGTCTTGCCGAGAACATGGCCAATCTGAGTTCGATCCACAGCATCCGACATGGTCTCCCTCGAGTATCACTAGGCGTGGTTCCTGAATTTGGGGTCACTAGGCATAATTCCTGAATTCAGAGTCAGAAATGACCCCTGGGCATTGCTAAAAGAATGAAAACATAAGGCAAGAAAAGAGCTGGAGTGATGGTCCAGCAGGAAGGGCATTTGCCTTGCACGCTGCTGACCCAGGTTCGATTCCCAGCATCCATATGGTCCCTCAAGCACTGCCAGGAGTGATTCCTGAGTGCCGAGCCAGGAGTGTAGCCCAAAAAGAAAAGAAAGAAGGCAAGAAGAGTCTTTCCAATGTACTATCTCCCCAGCCCCAAGAGATTCTTTTTAATATGTTTGACCTGTCTGGCCTCTTGACCAAACAGGACAGTGGATGAAAGTGCTTCAGGACTGTTTGGGGCTGGCTCTGTAGGGTTGCTTTTCATCAACCCTTTGCAGACAAAATCCCTCAGTAGAGAAGTTTTCAGGATGCAGATACATACTGAGTGAAGTCCGAGGCTCTTGCATGGCCTCGCGTCTCTCTAGTCGATGAGCTGTGCCTTTAGCACCTAATAGATCCTTCCACTCTGTGGTTCTACATCCAGATCATCCCTGCGGCAGGGGCCGCACCTTGTTCTCCAATATTAGTCTGATCAATCTGGTCTGGAATATGACTTAATGTTTGATCGCACAAATCTTGCTGATTCTCCAATCATGGACATTGATTTTTCAGACAAATTGAGGATAACTTTGTCAAACCTTTCTCACAAAATCCCATCATATTTTTCACTAGGGGACTGAAGGGAATATATATGGTAAGAGTGGATGCTTTGGGTGCAGGAGGCCTGAGTTTGATGCCCATCCTCACCCACAGCCCCGCATGGTCCCCGAGCATCACTGGAAGTGACCTCTGTGCACTGGGCCCAGAGGAGCCCCTGTGTACCTCGGGATCTGGTCCCAAAGCGCAACATAACAAATATTTGGGAAAGAACGTGACTTTGAGATGAAGTTATGAAATTTACATACAAGTGGTACTACATGGAAAGTATCATGTTAAGCGAAATGAGTCAGAAAGAGCAGGATAGACACAGAAAGATTGCATTCATCTGGGGAACATAAAGCAACAAAACGGGAGGCTAACACCCAGGAATGGCTGAGATTAGTACCAGGAATTTTGCTCCATGACTTGAAGGCCAGCCACATGTGCTAGGTGAAAAGGAAGATCAGATAGAGAAGAGAGCACCAAATAAAGGGTGTTGTGAGGACCCTCCCAGGGTGGGAGAGACATGCTAAAAGTAGTCTATAGACCAAACATGATTGCCACTCAATGCCTCTCTTGCAAAACACAGTACCCAAAAGAAGAGAGAGAGAACAAAGGGGAATGCCCTGCCACAGAGGCAGGGTGGGCGGGGGGGGGGGGGGGGGGCTGGGGGGTGGGAGGGATGCTGGGACCCGTGGTGGGGGAGGATGGGCACTGGTGGAGGGATGGGTACTTGATCATTGTATAACTGAAACCCAAGCACAAAAATTTATAAGTCTATAACTGTACCTTATGGTGTTTCACTAATAAAAAAAAGATTATAAAAAAATAAAAAATAAATTACAAGGAAAAAAGAACGTGACTTTGAGGTAGATACACACTTTAGTTTTATTTTATTTTATTTTTTTTGCTTTTTGGGTCACATCCAGCAATTGCACAGGGGTTACTCCTGGCTCATGCACTCAGGAATTACTCCTGGAGGTGCTCGGGAAACCATATGGGAAGCTGGGAATTGAACCCGGGTCAGCCGCGTGCAAGGCAAACGCCCTACCTGCTGTGCTATTGCTCCAGCCCCCACACTTCAGTTTTATATCTGGGTGTTAAGCCTGGTGATCAAGTGATCAAGTGACTCTTGGCTCTGTGCTCAGGGATCACTCTTGATGGAGCTTGGGGAAACATATGGGATGCCAGGGATCGAACCCAGGTTGGCTGTGTGCAGGGCATGTGCCTTACCTGCTGTACTATCTCTCTGGCCTCTAGAAAGCATACTTAG